TAGGGACCGTTTTAGTTGTGATTTTCAAGAAAAGCCTATTTTTCTGTTTAAAATTTCGGTGGGTGCTTTGAGGAGCTTCATGTGCGAACAGCAAAGAAAGAGGAGATGAAAGACTGATGTTTCCTTTATTAAATTTAAATGAAAGCTGCTTTTAAGAAAGGAAAAAACAAAATCAAAGCGATCTCCCAAGTATTACACATATGTTGATCACCCACTTTCAGGTAGAAATGGCTGGAAAGCTTTAATGCCTCCTACCCCTACAAGGCCACGCCACGGACTCAACTGCACCCGATCGTCTTCAGCCCCATTTGTGCTCAGGTTTGACCCTGGTGCACTGCAGGCTTTGTCTGTGCCATGCACCGAGAGCTGCGGTCAGCTTGCAGCAGGGGGGTCCCACAGTGGGGGTCCTGCAAAGGGGTCCCACAGTGAGGGTCCCGTAGCCCCAGGACTCACCACTGCACCAGTTCAAAGCCAAGGAGTACGGGGGTGCTCTGTGCCCCCACGGGACAGCCCGAGGGTGCTGCTCTGGTCACAGCATTGGTTTTCTTTTGGCGGGGACAAATCCCTGAGGTCCTCCCGCAGTGCTGTCGGGTTTGTCCTCCAGCCCATGATGCTGAGGACGGGTGCAGGGTGAGGTGGAGATAAGCCACTGCCGGTGCCCGTGGGGCCCTGGCACCCGCTCCTGCCTGCACGTACCTCGGACGGAGCACGGAGCACAGCGGCAGCGAGGAGGCTCCTGCAGCCCTGGCTGAGGGGTCACTGCTCCTCAGGAAGGTAGAGCACAAATCCCTGGGGACCATTGGTGTCCTGTCCTGCAGGGAGGGCTGGGGGACGTGGTGAAGGCACTGCTCACCCGGTGTAGAGAGCAGTGAAGGAAATGGAGCCTGGTGGAAACCAAGGGTCTGCAGGAGCTGAAGCCTCTGCCTTGGAGGGGATATCAGCCAGGATGGTGCACTGCGAGAGCAGGGGGGTCTGCTCTGGTCTCCCCTGTCAGATCTTGGTCGTTGGAGCAAAGCCCGTGTGCATGCACCAAGGTTTTCCTGAGCCAGATGTGCTGTGTTTAGGCTGCTCCAGTCAGGGTTATTGCCAAGAGTCCCATTCCCAGCACCGGTGGCTGCTGTGGCTCAGCTCGGAGCGGCCCGGCTGCGAAGGGGGGTGCAGATGGGTGAAACCAGCGCAGGGAAAAGGGTCCCGGGATGGGTGGCTCCGTCTGATGCAGCGCCGGAAAATGCGCAGGAAGCGCAGTGGGGGGGGAAGAGGCCGTTGGCAAAGGGCTGCGGCCGGAGGGAGCTGCCTGGTGTGAGAGGCTCCAGGTGAGGGGGTTTGGGTGGGGCGAGAGGGAAGCGGCAGTGAAGCCCCTGAGGAGGTGAGAGCCACGTAAATGAGCTTGTGGAGGTTGGGAGGAGCCGGCGATGGCTCCAGGGCGGCGGCCGGGATGCTCAGGGTGTGCCGGGGCAGAGCAGGGAGTGGAAGAGAGATTGCAGCAGGGCTGAAACCTGCGGGTGGGAGGGAGCCCATTTCACAACCCCGGGGAGCAGGGACGGGAGCCGCTGCTCTGGCCCCGCTGCGATGCTCCCGCCTCCGAGCGTCGAGGCACGGACGGGCAGGGGCACCGGGAGCTCCGCACACGCGGCTCCCCGAGCGGAGGCACCAGGAGCGCCTGTGGAGCTCCACGTGCAGGCGAGGTGCGGGCGAGTGAGGGTCTCCTCCAGCAGAGGAGCTGCAGAGCCCCTAAGCCTGAGCTGAGGGGGTGCTTTGAGCCCAGAGGAGGGTCCGGGTCCGGGTCTAGCAGCGGTCCACGGGCAGGGATGGGAGAGTGATGAGTGAAAACCTGCCGGGTCAGCCTGGGAGCATCCAGAGCCGGAGCCAGGGAGGGGGAGGAGTTGCTCTTGGGGCAGCTCTTCCTCAAAATGGGATCTCAGCGTTGTACATAGCGAGGCAGAGACAGACACTGCCCAGGGAGCGGGCAGTGAAAGGGGGGCGAAGGCATCAGGACCTCACCGGAGCTGCCCTGCTGTCAGCAGGGACCGGGGGTGCAGAGAAACCGGGGCAGCAGCAGGGTTATTTTTGCACAGGATTCTTGCCCCCGGAAGGGCTGTGAATTGGTGACAAATGGGCTGCTGATGCTGGGCGTTACTGGTGCCTTTTGTTGGCACGAAGGAGATGATGTGTTGATTGGGGCGTTATCGAGGCAATGCAGCCCTCATGGGGCTGCTTTTCCACACAGGATGGAGTTCACTGGTTACAGCATCCTGGAGACCCGGCCTGGTGCTCTGGCACCGCAGCAGTGCTGGGACTGTTGTGCCAAGATAGGCTGACAGAATCCTGAATGAGAGGCCAAGGGGAATGGCTTGAACCTGCCCGAGGGGAGACTGAGCTGAGCTCTTAGGCAGAAGCTCTTCCCTGTGAGGGTGCTGGTGTTTCCATCCAGCTGTACACGACCTGGGGAGGCAGAACAGGGAAGTGAGAGCGGGAAGTGAAACAGGAGCATCATCCCGGTGCCACTTCCCCTGTGGCTCCTCAAGCCCTTGGGCCCAGCACTCACAGGAACTGTGCAGGGGATGGTGCAACACGAGGCCTTTGGCTCAGCCCTAAGCAGGAATCCACCACTTGCTTCGTTCTGCCTGAGATGCTGTTCTGTTAGTGCCGTGAGTTGAGTGGCCTTGGCAGTGCTGGGGTGATGGTTGGACTTGATGGTCTTAAAGAGCTTCTCTAATGTGGTTGATTCAATGATTCTGAAAGCATACCGGTGCTGTTCTTGGAGCGTATGTGTGTGATTCCATCAGCTTCCACATTCAGCTCATGGTGCTCGGGGCAGAGACCTGGAGCTGTGCTGGGGACTCCCCTTGGCACTGCTGTAGATGGAGGAGAGCAGCCAGGTCCTGTCCTGTGCCCCATCTCCCCTCTCCCATCCCGGCTGCTGCCAGCTGGCTGCGGTGCTGGCTGGGTCCTGTGCTGCCCTTGGTTGTCCTTGCATGGCACTTGGTAGCACCTGCCATTGCAGGATCAATGGGAGCGCCCTGTTCCAACCGGGACCAGCATGTTTATTGTTCTAAGTGGTGGTTGGGAAAAGTGAGATCTGGGCTGGGACACTGTGTGCGTGGAACCAGAAACTGCCCAAACCAGGAAGGGGAACAAAGCCCAAGGCCAAATGAGGAGGCTCTCCCAGCTTCCCAGCTGGGCTCGGCTCACCCAGGCAGAGCAGGGGGACCTGCAGAGGGACCTGCTGCTCTGCCTGCACCGGGAGCAGGCTCCATGAGTTCAGCTTCCTCAGCTCCAGCAGCAGATCCCAAGGCAGCAGCACTGCTCACACCATGCTCCGGTCACCCGTTTGGGACCCAGCTCAGGGTGTGGGGCAGGGCGGGTGCACGGAGGTGCTGAATGGGCACGGTGCTGGCTGGGAAGCTGGAGCAGGGAACCAGGAACCTCCCCATCCCCTGCAGCCTGGCTGGGATGTTCGGGCAGTGGTGCGCTGGGGGGGGCACCGGGAGGGCCCTTCACCCTGCTGCGGGTGACAGCGTTGGTCAGCCCAGGCCGCCGGGGGCCTCCTGGGAAAAGGGATCCTGGTGCCGGCAGCGGCTTCCTCCTCTTCCTCCCACCACCGCCCTCCTCCACTTCTTGCTTTGTTTCGCTGCCTCCGCACTTCCCCGCCCCCTTTTCCTCCCCATCCTCTTCCTCCCCCCCCCGGTCTCCTCTTGGAGCAGGGTTTCTTTTTCTCCCTGTCTCCCACGGGGGATGGAGCGGAGGCGGCAGCGGGGGGCGCACAGCCCAGGCTCACCGGGGCCCTGCCTGTGCCCTGCCTGCGCCCTGCCCGCAGCCCGTAACCAGCCTGGCTCTGGGCCGCGGTGCTGACCTGCGGAGTGGGTGCTGCTCTCCTCGCCCCGTGCGGGTGCTCCGGGCTGGCGGTGCAGTCGGGTTTAGGGTTGATTCCTGCTTTACCTCCCCCGCAGGATTCCTCTTTGTTGTAGCTGCAGAAGTAATTACATTTAGGAGAACATTCCCAGCCGCGGGAGGAAGCAGCGGCCTCCCCGCTTGCATCTGCTGCTGGCTCTCCCAGTGCCCCCCTGCACCCCATCCACGGGGCTCTGCATCCCTCGGCATCCTCACTGCAGGGGGATGAGGGAGCCGAGCAGGAGCACGTTCTCACGGTGTTGGTTAATCCCCACAGAACACAACCGAAGGGAGTTTTGGCAGCTCCTGTGTCCCTCCCCGTCCCCGCTGCCAGACCTGCCCGTGCCTTCACACCCTCCCCTCCTTGGCTCACTCTGCTCTGCTTTGCCCCATGGTCTCTGCTCCCAGATTCCCAGCCTGAATCAGCAGCCACCAGCTGTGCATGGGGCTGGATGGTGGAACAGCATCCTCGAGGTGCCTGCATCAGTGCCTGCCCTGCTCCCCTCTGCCCCGCAGCTCCGCCATGCTTTGCTATCCCAGATTCCCGGGTAGTTTACAGTGGGAATTCCTTGGATTGCTATTGCTGGCTGCGGGCTGGTGCTGGTGGGAGGCAGTGAGACATCAGCAGCTCTTCTGCGTCTGCAGGGGGCCCTGGAGAGCCGAGGCGGTTCCAGGGTTTGAACTGACCCCGCAGCCCTCTCCTGACCCGTTTGGGCTTTGGCTCCTGGAGCTCCCTGTGCCCTTCACTGCTGCTCCCCGCTCCTACAAGGCCCACGGGGTGGAACAGCACATGTGGCCTTTTGCTGCCCGCACCCTGCATGAGCGCCTGGGCCCAGGGTGCTGCTGGGGAGCTCTGGGCACGCCAGGAGTCAGATCCCTGCCTCGGGGTTCAGTAGCCTGGCCAGCAGTGGCTATGGAGCCGAGCTGCCCCTCCACAGCCTGGTTCCCTGCGCAGCTGAGCCCCCCGGGGCCGTGCTGGGGTTTGTGGTGCTGGGTATGATGCTGGCAACACCCGTGTCGGTGCGGGGTTTGTGATCGGTGGTGAGGAGAGGGGTGACGGGTAGAATGGAGCAGCATCCCCCACTGACCCCCATGTGTGTCCCTCGCAGCCATGACAGCGTAGGCAGGCGGCGAGACATGGATCGCTTCACGGAGTGCGGGACGCAGACGGACGCGGTGGTGGTGCTGTCGCTGGCACAGGCCGCGGTCCTGGGCTTGGTGTCGGAGAATGAGCTGCTCGGTGCCACCGTCAGCCCCGCCGGCTTCTTCCCGGCGCTGGGCGAGGAGCTGCTGGATGCGGTGGAGCCGGAGGGCGAGGGCCCCGTGGCCGGGGATGGGCAGGAGGAGGACGCCCTGGAGGCAGGGTCCCCGCTGGAGAAGCACCCGCGGCGGAGGAAGCGGCCCCCGGTGAGGCTGGTGCCCAAGGTGAAGAGCGAGCGGGCGGAGGACGAGGCCCCGCGTGAGGAGCCGGTGCCTGCAGAGGAGGAGGAGGAGGAGGAGGGCGAGCGGCAGCGCGGGCGTCGGGCCCCGCCGCAGGAGCCCGGCCCGGAGCGGGCGGTGCAGAGCAGCGCGGTGACGATGATCGACCTGGGTGCCCTCGGCAGGAAGCCGCGGCGCCTGCGGCACCTGCGCCGCCACGGGCACCTCGAGCTGCAGGGCTCCAAGCGCCGCCTCGGTGGGGCCGGTGCCGCCAACGGCCCTGCAGGGGCCCTGCGGACCGAGTGCGCGCTCGAGGCCGGCGCCGCATCCCCCGGTGAGGCCGAGGCCCCCGCGTCCCCCGAGGCCGTGAAGAGCGAGCCCGGCTGCGGGTGGCAGGAGCCGGGCGAGCTGGAGCCGGCCGGAGCCACCAGCGAGCGCAACAAGAAGGCGCAGCTGGACCGGCTGGACATCAACGTGCAGATCGACGACTCGTACCTGGTGGAGGCGGGCGACCGGCAGAAGCGCTGGCAGTGCCGCATGTGCGAGAAGTCCTACACCTCCAAGTACAACCTGGTGACGCACATCCTGGGCCACAACGGCATCAAGCCGCACTCGTGCCCGCACTGCAGCAAGCTGTTCAAGCAGCCCAGCCACCTGCAGACCCACCTGCTGACCCACCAGGGCACGCGGCCCCACAAGTGCGGGGTGTGCAGCAAGGCCTTCACCCAGACCAGCCACCTCAAGCGGCACATGCTGCTGCACAGCGACATCAAGCCCTACAGCTGCCGCTTCTGTGGCCGCGGCTTCGCCTACCCCAGCGAGCTGAAGGCGCACGAGGTGAAGCACGAGAGCGGGCGCTGCCACGTCTGCGTGGAGTGCGGGCTGGACTTCTCCACGCTCACCCAGCTGAAGCGGCACCTCTCCACGCACCAGGGCCCCACGCTCTACCAGTGCCTGGAGTGCAGCAAGTCCTTCCACTACCGCAGCCAGCTGCAGAACCACATGCTGAAGCACCAGAACGTGCGGCCCTTCGTCTGCACCGAGTGCGGGATGGAGTTCAGCCAGATCCACCACCTCAAGCAGCACTCCCTCACACACAAGGTAGGGGATGGGGCACCCGGGGGTGCTGCTCGGGATGTGCCGGCTCTGGATGCGGGTGCAGGGGGAGGGAGGTGTCCATGCACCCGGAGCCCTGGGGGGCGGGTGCTGCGGGCGGCAGAGGCACCCCTGGTTCATCCTCTCGGGGCCATTGATTAGCAGTGAACGGGCTTCACTATGGGTAAGGATGGGCTCTGGCGCCTGCAGCCCCAGCTCCTTCCCTGCTCTTGCTCCGCAGCACTGACCCGGTACTGGCTGCAAGCACACTTCCAGGCTGGGTGAGGCTGGGGGTGAGGCAGGGAATCGGCCATGGGGCAGCAGAGGGGTGGCGCTGGGCTCAGTGCTGCCCTCTGCGCCTGCAGGACAGGAGGAGGGGGCAGCAGGAGAGGGCCTGGGGCAGCTGCGGATGGGGTGTGAGGGTAGATCTGCCCCCCAACAGTCACAGAGTCACCGGGTTGTCCTGAGCTCTCACCCGGTTCCACCTCCTGCCACAGGCACACACGCCAGGCCCCAGAGCTCAGCTTAGTGTGAGGAGGCCGTCCTTGGGGAGCGCAGTCCCTGCCCCACGCCGTGCCCAGCCCCGGTGGGCTCTGTGCAGTGACCCCATGGCTGCTGCTGCCTGCCCGGGGCCAGGCTCTGCCCATGGCTCTCGCCCCCTTTGCAGGGCGTGAAGGAGTTCAAGTGCGAGGTGTGCGGGCGCGAGTTCACCCTCCAGGCCAACATGAAGCGGCACATGCTGATCCACACCAGCGTCCGCCCCTACCAGTGTCACATCTGCTTCAAGACCTTCGTGCAGAAGCAGACGCTCAAGACCCACATGATTGTGCACTCACCAGTGAAGCCATTCAAATGCAAGGTACGGGGGGGCCGGGAGGCTCAGCAGGACCCGGGGGGGGGGTTAGTGCAGTACCTGGTGCTGTGCGCTGCGGAGAAACCCGGCCGGGCTGGGCCGCAGGGAAGCGGCTTTGTGATGCCTCCCTCTGTTGGCTCGGGCGAGCGGCTCCCAGCTGCGCCGTGGGCACCGGGGATGGAGGAGGACCAGGACAACCGGTGCCTCTCTGATGAGCACCAGGGGTGCTGGAGATCCCAGCAGCACCAGCACAGCCCCCCCACCGCAGCGGGCAGGAGGGAGCAGCCCCGTTACTCCCGGTGGAGCAGTGGGGGCCGCAGGGTCGGGTCGCGGTGGGTCCCGGTGCCGTGGGGAGCCCTCAGTGATGGGAGCGCTGCCCGCAGGTGTGCGGGAAGTCCTTCAACCGCATGTACAACCTGCTGGGACACATGCACCTGCACGCGGGGAGCAAGCCCTTCAAGTGCCCCTACTGCTCCAGCAAGTTCAACCTGAAGGGCAACCTCAGCCGGCACATGAAGGTCAAGCACGGCGTGATGGACATCAGCCTGGACAGCCAAGGTGGGTGCGGGCTGTGGCCAGGGCTGGGGCTCTCCCTGCTGTGGCTATGTGCTGGGGTGCGCTGCGGCAGCTCTGAGGAGTGGGTTTGGGCAGCCTCGTGTCCGTCACCCAAAGGATGCCCTCGTGCTGCCAGCACCGCGCGGTGACATCACCGTGTCCCCAGCCACGCACCCGTCCTCTGTAGAAAGGTAGTGAATGGGATCGGGGGTAGGATTAATATTAATAATTAACTTCATTAAACAGTAAGTTAATAAATAGCTCCTCAAGGAGCCACTGAGGCTTCAGCATCTCCTGACAGGACCGTGCCCTCTCGTGATGCCGTTGTGGTGGTTTTGCTCGAGGGTTTTGCAGGGTGGGAGGGTAAATCCCACTGCTCTTGCCCCGCTGCCCCCTCGGTACCTGCCCAAGGACACCGAGCGGGGACAGGAGATGCCGCAGCCTCAGGAGCACCAGCACAGGTCCTGTGGCAGCAGCCGTGCAGCGGAGCCACCCCTGCTTCATGGGGGCAGAGCTGGAGAGCAGCTCCTCTGTTCCATCCCCTTGGTTTCCCAGCAGCTTGGTGCCTGCCTCGAGCGTGCCCTGGGGGGACCCGGCAGGATCCCCCATTCCTGCCCTTTTCCTTCCTCCTCACCATGGACAACTCAGCCAGTGCAGGGGTGCAAGGGCAGGGGCTGCGCGGGGAGGATGCGTCCCTGTCCCTGTTGTGGGATGGGCGCTGCAGGCCCCTGCATGTGACAGTGAGCACACGGATGCCAGTGCCCTGCTGGAGCAGAGCTGTGGCTCCCGGGGAGCTTTGGGCTTTACCCCGAGTCCCTCATCGGTGTCCCTGTGCTGAATCCTAGATCCCATGATGGAACTGGCTGGGGCCGACCATACCGAGCTGGACGGGCAGCAGGAGATGGACGACTTCGAGGAGGAGAACTCTTATGGCTATGGGGGGGTGGGCAACCCCCCAGACGAGCAGGCCATGAAGGAGATGGCGTACTACAACATGTTGTAGTGCAGGAGCAGCGGCCGGGGCTGCATGGACTGTGTGGGGTAAGCGGAGGTGAAGCACCCGGCCAGGCCCGCACCCCTGCCCCTGGAGATGGGGGCTCCGGCTGGGACTGGTGAGGGGCTACCCAGGGATGTCCAACGCCGGTGCTGGAAGCGGCAGGGGCAGCGCCTGCTGCCGGGGGCACCATCAGCTGGGGCAGGGGGGCTCAGTCCTGGGCTGCTGCTGCATCGCTGCGGTCCTGCCCCCCCTCCGCAGTGCCTGGAGCAGGGATGGCACAAGCCAGGACCAGCCCCATCCTCGCCGTGGCACACGCCGGCAGGGCAAGGCGCATCCCGGACAATGCCGTGTTTCTGATTCTACCTCCTGGCACTGCAGCCCCCAGGTCCCCATGGGGCAGGAGGGGCTGTGGGTCCCGCTGCAGGCCGTGGGGCACGTTCATGGCAGTGTGGTTCCCTGCTCCCCCGCAGCACTGGGGCGACTCTCAAAGTAATTTATTTTTGTCAGACGTGCGGCGTGGCTGGGCTGAGCTCTCCATCCACCGCGTTCCCGTTCCAACCAGTGTGCTTTGTAAACCGTGTTCCAGTGTGGTCTGTGCGGGGTGGGCACCAGAGCTGGGCGCACTGCCCGTGGGGCAGCCGAGCAGCACCAGGGCCCTGCTGGTGAGCCACAGCCGCTCCCAGTGCCGGCCCAGGGGATGCAGTGCTTGGGGCGCCCTCGGGATAGGGGGTCCATCCCCTGCTCTGGGTGTTGTGGGGGGGAGGAGGAGCTGTGGCGGTGCTGGGGCTGGGGGCACTGTCCAGGCTTTGCACGCTCCCTGCCATGGGGTCCTAGTGGGAAGGGTCTGGGACCCCCAAGCTGATCCCTGCACACACTGCCAGTGGCTGCACAGGTCCAGGTCCCACTGCTCCCCACACAGAGCATCCTCCCCCGTCCCCAGCCTGGCTCTGGAGGGTGCCCCCTCCCAGCCCCGGTGTTCCCGGCAGGGCAGGCACCCCCCTTGGGAAGGATGGACGTGGCTGCAGTGGCCAGCCTGGGTCCCCTTGCACAATGTGGCCATGTCCCGTCCCCCCCCGCTACCTCAGCCCCATTACCAAAAAGCTGCCACGCGTCCCCCCTGCAAGAGGGTGCTGGGTGACTGCAGCACCGAGATGGGGCTTCTCGTGGTGACGGCAGAGCTGGCACCAGTGGACATGTGTCCCCCTCCACATTGAGGCCCCAGTGCATGCCCCTGCTGTGTTCTGCCTGGTTTTCATCTCGGTTTGAGGAGCTGTTTAGCAATGGATCTCACACCTGCGGGTTCTGCACCCCCTGCCCGTGCCGCGGCAGCCACCACCACGCCGTGGGGTGAGGTGTTTAATGGCTGCTGGCCCGGGGGGTACACGAGACACTGCGGGCACCCCGGTCCTACACATCCCTGCTAGAAAAGCTTTATGAACACTGGTAAGAAAACCGCTTACAAAAGGGGTTGAGGTGTCCCTGAGCTGCGGGGCCAGGCTGGAGGCGCCGCTTCCATCCACGCCGCAGCAGCGGGGCCGGGTGCCCCGGTCCCTACTTCTTGCCCAGGGCCTTGTCCAGGTTGTTCTTGATGGCGTCCAGGAAGTCGGTGGTGTTCACAAAGTGCTCGTTCAGCTTCACACTGCGGGGTACGGACAGGGCATGGGGGGACCCATGGCTGGGGTCCCTGCCTGTCCCCACTGCCGGCAGCACAGCGCAAGGTGTGAGATGTGACCCCTGCCCGGCCCTCAGCTGCAGCAGACCCAAGTCCCTGGGGATGGGCACCCGTGTCCACCCTGCACACCCCCACACGTACTTGGCCAGGCCGTGGATGCAGCCAGCCAGGTCCTTTGTCATCGTCCCGCTCTCCACTGTCTCCACGCACACCCTCTCCAGTGTCTGGGCGAACCTGGTGATGGCGGCATCACCACACGGCTCTGGCACAGCCGGCACCGCACCAGCACCCCTGTGCCACGGACCCACAGCCCCATCCCACCGCGCTCACCTCATCAGCTCAGGGTTAGTGTCCAGCTTCCCCCTGTGCTCCAGGCCGCGCGTCCAGGCGAAGATGCTGGCGATGGGGTTCGTGCTGGTGGGTCGCCCCTGTGCACAGAGAGCGCTCAGCACCCGGCGCGGGCAGCGTGGCGCGGGCAGCACCCACGGGCAGGGCGCACCCACCTTCTGGTGCTCCCGGTAGTGGCGGGTGACGGTGCCGTGGGCCGCCTCGGCCTCGATGGTCTTCCCATCCGGACACACCAGCACCGAGGTCATGAGCCCCAGGGACCCAAAGCCTGCGGAGCCGGGGGTCAGAGCAGCCCTGGCAGGGTGACTGCGTGCGCCCACCCCAGTCTGCCCCACAGCGCCCACCTTGGGCCAGGATGTCCGACTGGACGTCCCCATCGTAGTTCTTGCAGGCCCAGACGAAGCCCCCGGAGGACTTGAGGACCTGGGCCACCATGTCATCGATGAGCCGGTGCTCGTACCAGATCTGCAGCTTGTCGAACTCGGTCTTGTAGTGCCTGGGGATCGGGGGGGGTCAGCCAGGCCTGGCCATGACCGGGTCCCCCCCGCCAGCAGCCGGGGCTCCTCCAAGCCCGTACTTATCGAAGATCTCCTGGAAGATGTCTTTGAAGCGGCCATCGTAGGCCTTGAGGATGGTGTTCTTGGTGCTCAGGTAGAGAGGCCACTTCTTCTGGATGGCGTACTGGAAGCAGCTGTGGGCGAAGCCTGAGATGGACTGCAAGGGAAGCGCATGGACACCGTGGGACCCCCAGCCTGGCCGGGTCCCCCATGGGGAGCCCCTGCTCCCCGTTACCTCGTCTGTGTTGTACATGCCCATGCCCACGCCGCCGCCGGGGAAGTTGAACACCTCCCACTCCTTCGCGCCGCTGCCGTCCTTGGGCGTGAAGATCATCCTGAACGTCCCGGCCTTGTCCACCACGAAGTCGGTGGCTTTGTACTGCACAGAGCAGGGCAGAGCAGAGCAGAGCGTGGGGCCGGGTCCCTGAGGAGCTGCCGGAGCCCCTGTGCCACGGCACTCACCTGGTCACCGTGCGCATGCCGGCCGATGGTGATGGGCTTGGTCCAGCCGGGCACCAGGCGCGGGATGTTCCTGCAGACGATGGGCTCCCGGAACACCGTCCCCCCCAGGATGTTCCGGATGGTGCCATTGGGGCTCTTCCACATCTTCTTCAGCTTGAACTCTGGGGTGCACTGAGGTGAGGCCCCCCCCCCAACACCACCCCCCCCCCGCCGGCTCCTCCATGCCATGGGCTGCTGCCAGGCTGCTGCCGGCCAAGGAGAGGCACAGCCAGCGCGGCTCAACCCAGCCCCACACCGCACCCGGGGGAGGGCACAGCACTGAACACAGGCCCCAGCCCACTGCAGACCTGTGCCACCATAGGGCACTGCCCCGTCACCCCTGCCCACCTTCCACCCGGGCCTCATCCGGTGTGATGGTGGCACACTTGACAGCCACGCTGTACTTCTTGGTGGCCAGCGCCGAGTCGATGGTGACCTGATCATCCGTCTTGTCCCGGTGCGGCAGCCCCAGGTCAAAATACTTCAGCTGCACGTCCACGTTGGGCAGGATGAGCTGGGGGGGGCAGAGAGGGTCAGAGCCTGGGCATGGTGCTGGGTGTGTGGGGAGCAGCACCGTGACACAGCACAGCGCCATGGCATGGCACCATGGCATGGCACAGCACCAGGGCATGGCACAGCACCATGACACAGCAGAGCACAGCACCATGGCACAGCACCATGGCACAGCAGAGCACCAGGGCACAGCACAGGCCATGGCACAGCACAGTCAGCCCCAACCCTGGCCCCAGCTCCAGCCCCTGCTCGGGAGCTCCCAGGTCCCTGCAGGCACGGGGCTGACTCCAGCACCTGCTCCCTGCACACAAAGGACGGGCACGGGACCCGGGGAGGGGAGCAGAGCTGGGGCGGGCAGCGGGGCCTGTGCAGCTGCAGCTGTCCTGGACCCGTTACCTTGTCCTTGATGAAGGCCCAGATGATCCGCGTCATCTCGTCCCCGTCCATCTCCACCACCGGGTTGGCCACCTTGATCCGCTTGTCGGCATCTGGGAGCAAGCAGTGGCACGTTAGGGGCACACATGCGGACCCATAGCTCAGCCCTACAGCCCTGCACCCCAGCCCCACCGCTCAGCCCCACAGCCCTGTGTACCCCAGCCCTATAGCTCAGCCCCACAGCCCTGCACCCCAGCCCTATAGCTCAGCCCCACAGCCCTGCACCCCAGCCCCATAGCTCAGCCCCACAGCTCAGCCCCACAGCTCAGCCCCACCACTCTGCACCCCAGCCCCACCGCTCTCTCTCAGTGTGATGTCCCAGGGGCACATGAGACCCACCCGGTGCAGGTCAGCAGCGCCCAGAGACGGGCGCGGGGCGGGACCCGGTGCGAGCTGGGAGCAGAGCCCCACGTGAGGCCAGCACCGGCCCAGGCCCGGATCAGACCCCGCAGGGACCGGGTGCGAACCCCCTCGGAGCAGGACCCGGATGGAAGCTGCGGTGTGAAACCAGCAGCAACCCCCCCCGGGTACCAAGCTGGGTACAGAACCCGATGGGACCAGCAGCGGGAGCTGGGATGGAACCTGGATGCTGCAGAACAAACGTGGGACGGGGACCGGGAGCGAACCCTTCCGGGGGCCACACCGCGCAGCAGCTCGGGTGGAAAAACTTCCACATGGGACCGGGTTCAAACCCCGTTGGGGACCAAACCCGGTGGCACAAACCCCTCCAGGGTCAAACTGGGTACGAGTTGGGCTGCAAACCCCCTCGGAGAACCGGGAGCAAAACCCCGCCCCCCGGGACCTGATGTGAGCAGGGTACGGACCCAAAAACCGACCTGGAGACCCCCCCCGGACTGGCTGTAAGCGGGATACGGACCCAACCGCACCCCCAAATCCAACCGACCCCCCGTGCAAACCCTTCCGTGCTGCAAACCCCGCTCGGAACGGGCGCGTCCCTAAGGACGCTCAGAGCCCCGTCCCCATCCCATAGACTCACAGTGCCGGTGCTGCCCCACGGAAGCGGCGGGGAGGGGGCAGCGAACCAAGCGGCTCAGCACCGGGGCAGCGCGGAGGTAACGGGCGGCCATGGCGGGGCGCGACGGGGCGGACACGGCGGCAGTGGGGAAGCGGGGACGCGATTGCTCCGCCCCGGGGCGGTCCCTGCCCGGGTTCCCCCCCCAACCCCGTAGGACCCCGCGAGGGGGCCCCCTCGCGGGGTCCTACGGGGTGGGGGGGGGGAACCCAGGGCCTTTGTTTCACCCCACATCCCACACCCCCCCTCCATCAAAACCCATGCGCATGGGGAGGGAGGATGATGCCGCTCGCTGGATGCCATCAGTGCCAAAGCACAAGGTGAGCCCCGCATCAGCTTTCCCCAGGGGTGAGATGTGTCCCCCCCCCATCTCTGTGGGCATCGCACCCCAAAGCTATGTGTGTGTAGGGTATAAGGAGCAGTGGTAGCAAAAGGAAATGGTTGTCCCCGTTCTGGGAACATGCTTGATGCTGCTGGATCCCAGAGTTTTGGAGCGACCTCAGGTTTTCCTTACATAGAAGTGAGTGCGACTACACGATGCCAACTCGTGACTCAGGGCTGATGGGCCCCGCGGGGTGGGTGGCTGCTGCCATTGCCCCAAAGGGACCTTCACCTGACCCCTACACGGGGAATGAAGGGGGAAATGCACCCCATGGGCACCCCAACAACAATGCTGGGTGCCGGGGTGGCCTGGAGCCTGCTCAGCCCCAGCGCCTCTGCCCTGGCCAAGCCAAGGGCTTATTTTTAGCCACAGGGGACGGGCAGATCCCTCTGCGGGAGGAGGAACCGTCCCATGGACCCTGCGCAAGCAGCGAGGCCGGGCCGGCGGCACCCGTTCTGCCTGGCTTTAACATTAACCAGAGCCCCAGCGCGGGGGGGGGCCGGCACCCAGTGCTCCATGGGGCGTCCCCACCGCCTTCCCCGTGACTCCGCGGGGTCACCCCCCCCCCCCCAGCACCGGCTGCCCCCCCCTGCGGTGACCGCAGCGCTCGCAGGACCGGGTCACGCCAGCGGCCCCGTGGCACCGGCCCAGAGCCGCCTCCCTCCCGCAGAGCCCCTGCCCGCAGCGCGGCCGGGCCGGGGGGGTGCGGGGGAGCGACGTGTCCGGGGGGTGCGGGTCCAGCGGCGTGGGGAGGAGAACAGGGGAGGCGGGGGGGGTGCATCCACTGCAGGCAGCCCCGTGGGAGGGGGCACCACGCGGTCGCCGCACGGTGCGAGCAGTGCTGCCCCAGACACGGGATCCCTCATGGGTGCCGCTTGGAGCCATCGGCCTGTGGTCTGCTTCCCGCAGGGATGTGGGGCAGGGACTGTGGGACCCCCCCCCAGCACCCGCTCCCCGCAGCCCCGGGGCACAGGGCAGCAGCTCCCTGCAGCAGAGCCTCTGCGTGTGCCAGTGGCTTGGCCAAGCGCTGCGGGTGCGGCACGAGGGGAGGCGGCACAGCGGCTCTGTGGCCATGCCACGATGGAGCTGGGCTAGCAACGGGTTGGCGGCCCGGGCAAGGGGATGGCAATGGGGATGGGACAAGAGAAGGGAATTGCACGTGGCACAGCCAGGAGGAAGGATGATGCAGGAAAAGGGGTGCAGAGCCACAGCTGGCTGGTCCTGCCCTCGGCCTGGCCCACTGCGGGGTGCTGCGGGCCAGCAGTCACCCCAAAATGCCCAGAGTGGGTGTCACCACCAGGACCTCACAGCAATGCCTCAAGCGGTGCTCTGGGTGTCCCACGGCCGGGACAACAATGAGCCCCCTCTCACCCCAGCGGGGACCCCACTGTGGTCCCCAAGCCACGCTCCCCCCTGCCCCACAACCGTGCTGAGCCCCATGGCCGTGCTGAGCCCATCACTGCGGGCGGGTGTGGGGGGGGGGGCAGCATCAGCATCACCCCACCCCGGCCGCACACCGGGACCCCGCCAAGGCCTCCCCCAGGACCGGGACCGACCCCCCCCGAGCTGGGACCATCCCCCCGGCGGGCGGGGCCCCGGTGCGGGGCGGGTTGGGGGGCGGCCGGGCGGGGCGGCCCCTTTGTTGTGAGCGGCGGGCGGAGCCAGCGGAGCCGCCCCGGGCCCTCCGCGGGCGGGGACCCCCCCGAGCCGGCCCCGCCGCCGAGCGGTGAGCAGCGGGCGGCGCGCAGGGGGGGGCTGCGGGCGGGGGGCACCGCGCACGGGGGGGCTGCGTGTGCGGTGTGCGTGCAAGCGGGTGTGCGGGTGTGTGGGGAGGGCTCCTGTGCCGCCGTGTGCAGCGGGGGCATGGGGGGTGCGGGATCCATGGGGTGTGCAGGGCGGAGGGCCTGGGTGTGAGGGTGTGAGGGTGTGCATGGGGAGAGCGTGTGTGCGTGTGTGTGCGTTCACACGGGTGTGCGGGTGCCGGCGCGGGGGGTGCGGTGCCGCGGGGCTGGCTCCAGGGGCTGTTCCCGTGTCCCGTGTGCCGCGGTGCCCCGCTGGGCTGGGGACGCGGCCGCATGGGCCCTGGGGCTCCCACTGGGGCTGCTGTTGGGGTTGGCACCCCCAGCGCCAGGCAGCACCGCTGCGAGGGTGCCACGGAGCGGCACGAGGAGCCCGGTACCCTCTTCGTGGGCTCCATGGGGCCAGCGATGGTTGGCAAGGGATCTGCACCCCCCAGCTCTTGCACCCTGGGGTGCAGTGGTGCCTGTGCTCAGAGCTCACTGCGAGCACTGAGGGGTGCTCACTGGTTCTGTTTCCGATGGGTCCTGCAGCCATGGGTTCAGGCAGGGGTGTGTGGGTGCAGGCAGGCACTGGCACTGGGTGGGAGCTGGACCATGGAGATACCCCATAGTCCTCACATGCAGAAGAAGGGTACAGGGGGCAGTGGAGCAATGGGATGGGTGCATTCATGTGGTGCCTGGCAGGCTGGGTCCAGGGATACCCAGTCACTCCATGGGGTGAAGGGGGTGGTGTGGGGCTGGACACCAGCACCCTGGTCAGGAGGTCCTGGCAGTGTGGTCAGAGCTGGCTGCAGAGGGGCAGGCAGCAGGGTTGCAGCCCCTGGGCCCAGGAGGGTGGCACTGCCGGTGCCTGTGAGATGGAGAGGATGCCCCACAGACCCTGCACCAGGGCCAGTGCTCAGTTTCATCCCAGGCTGGAGGCTGCCCCACGCTTGCCGCTCATCCTGATGGAGGTCTCTCCCGTGGCTGCTGGGGCTGGGATCAGAGCCTTGTGTGCTGCTTCCTGCCAGCACCAGCGGCACTTGGGTGCTGGGGACACGTGGGGTTCCTGGTGCTGAGCAGCGGCGCTGGGAGCATCTGTGGGAGCAGCAGGGCCGGAGCCTGCGGCTGCAGGTGCAGGAGTGCACGAGGGCTCCCTCTCTGCGCCTGTGCACAGTGGCTGGGGGGGCCAGGGGTGTCTGACAGCCTCCAGGAGAGAGATGAGCCGGGGGGGTGTGAGCCCCAGGAGACGTGGGTCGGAAGGAAGAGCCTGAGTGTGTGGGCTGCAAGCGAGCAGCTGCGGGTCTGAGCAGGACACGTGTCTGCACTGCTGCCTGTGCTCTACCTGCACTGCTGCCTGCTCTGTGTCTGCGCTGCTGCCTGTGCTCTACCTGCACTGCTGCCTGCTCTGTGTCTGCACTGCTGCCTGTGCTCTGCCTGCACTGCTGCCTGCTCTGTGTCTGCACTGCTGCCTGTGCTCTGCCTGCACTGCTGCCTGCTCTGTGTCTGCACTGCTGCCTGTGCTCTGTGTCTGCACTGCTGCCTGTGCTCTGTGTCTGCACTGCTGCCTGTGCTCTGTGTCTGCACTGCTGCCTGTGCTCTGTGTCTGCGCTGCTGCCTGCTCTGTGTCTGCGCTGCTGCCTGTGCTCTACCTGCACTGCTGCCTGTGCTCTACCTGCACTGCTGCCTGCTCTGTGTCTGCACTGCTGCCTGCTCTGTGTCTGCACTGCTGCCTGCTCTGTGTCTGCACTGCTGCCTGTGCTCTGTGTCTGCACTGTTGCCTGCTCTGTGTCTGCACTGCTGCCTGCTCTGTGTCTGCACTGCTGCCTGCTCTGTGTCTGCACTGCTGCCTGCTCTGTGTCTGCGCTGCTGCCTGTGCTCTGCCTGCACTGCTGCCTGCTCTGTGTCTGCACTGCTGCCTGTGCTCTGTCTGCACTGCTGCCTGTGCTCTGTCTGCACTGCTGCCTGCTCTGTGTCCATGCTGCTGCCTGTGCTCTGCCTGCACTGCTGCCTTTGCTCTGTCTGCGCTGCTCCTTGTTCTCTGTGTCTGCACTGCTGCCTGTGCTCTGCCTGTGTCTGTGCTACTGCCTGTACCACTGCCTTAACTGAGGCAGCAGGCAGAAGGCATGAGCACACAGGCAGCAGCAGCAGCAGAGTGGGGCGCAGGCAGCAGCAGCAGGGTACAGGCAGCAGCAGCAGCAGGATACAGGCAGCATCAGCCCTGCTCCTTGCAGGCAGCAGCTTCCGTCTCCGCAGCCGCCTTCCCAGGCCCCACTGCCCGCAGGAACGGGGCTGGCGTGGGAACTGGGTGCAGAACTGCCCCTGCCCAGTGACCCCAGGCCATGGGGTTTGCAGCTGCACCTTGAGCTGCGGCTGCAGGCTGGGATGGCAGCGGGGCTGCGGTGCTGGTGCGTGCAGGTACCTGTACACGCGGGCCTGGGCGCGCAGGGCAGGGTGCTGCAGGGTGCCCTGGCAGGGCTGGCAGCCTGCGTGGGCCAGCGGAGGAGATAAATGGGAGTTTGTGGTAAACAGGCCTGGCTGCCAGCAGCGTGGGGAGCGCCGCCACGCTTAAAGGCACAGCTCTGGCCTCGCTCCACTGCCTGTTCCCTGCCCTCCCTGCCTGCTCTCCCTGCCTGTCCCCCCTGCCTGTCCCCTGCCTGCACACCCTGCTTGCCCCAAGACCCTCTGGCCTCTCCATGGGGCTTCCATCGCTGCGTGCCATTAGACAGGGGTGTTGCATGGGTGCTCACATGGCCATGCACAGGCGAGTCTGGGCCCCGAGGGTCCCCTGTGGCCCCCCCCGGGTGCCGTGGGGCGGGGGGGCCGTGGCTGTGGGTGTCTGCTCCCATCCCACGCAGGGTGATGGTGACGGTGACGTGCTGGGCTCCGTGACGCAGAGCCCTGTCCCGTCTGTGGCACTTCCCGGGCAAAGGGTGCTGATAAGGCCGGTGGGGTGGAGCTGGCGGGGCTGTCCCCGGCCCCAGGAAGGGACGTCACCTTTGGGAGCACAGCGGGAGCAGGAAGGGAGCCAGGAGACAAGGGAGGCCGGGCACCAGCAGCAGCACCAGCCCCTGGGCACCAGGTACAGCCAGGGCAGCCGGCACCGTCCGGCAGTGCCGAGTGGGAGAGCATGGGCAGGGCTGTACAGGGGCACGGAGGTCACAGGGGGTCCCAGCGGTGTGGTGGCGGTGGCCGGGGGCACCGGAGCCAGGCCTGGGCAAGGGGAGGCTGGTGATGGGCAGCCCCGGCCCCGGGGGAGCTGCGCTGCCGCGGCGAGGGGAGACCCGGTTCCCCCCGTTGCCATGGCAAAATCAGGAGCTGTCATTAATATCGCGTTGCCGTGGCAACCGCTGGACGAGCGGGCAGTTCTGCGGGGGCTGCTCCTGCCGGGGGCTGCGTGTTCCGCGGTGCGGAGCCCACCGTGGGTCCGGGCAGGGGGTCCTGCTCGGTGCCGTGCCCATGGTGCGGCCCCACCGGAGCCACGCTCACTCCGGAGTCCCCCGGGACCGGGCACTGCGGCTGCCGGGGACGTGTCCCGTGTACCTGGGGCTGCCCTGCGCGGACACCGGCGCCGAGGAGCCTTACCCCGTGGGGGGGCTGGCACAGGCACCCCGCTGCCCGGCTGTGCCGTGCCCCATGCGAGCCCGTCGCTCCTGAGGGAGGGCAGGGGACACGGGGCTGTGCAGGGCAGCAGCCACAGCCCCAGCGGAGACCACAGCCCCCAGTAGAGACCCCGGCCCCGGCTGAGACCCCGGCCCACGCCTGGCAGGGCAGCCGGGGAAAGGCTTTGCAGAGAGTGGGGACGGGACAAAGCTGCAGCTGGGGACTGCGGGAGCAGCAGCAGCCCCCAGCACGGCCACCGGCTCTGGCTGCTGCCCTGGGGTGAGCTGACCCCCGGCCGGACACACCGACCCCGGCATCCCAGGCCGGTCGGGTTCCCCGCTGCGGGGAGGGAGCTGGGGGTGCAGGGACCTCCGCGCCCCTGTGCCGGTACCCGCCGCCGCTGCCGGTGCAGGGGACACAGCGGCCCCCGGCACCAGGACCTGCTGCTGGCAGGGGCTGCCCGGGAGGGGCGGGGGCACGGTACCGGGGTGCTCAAATCACCGGGAGACCCCCGGGGCTGCCTGGGCGGGGAGGGGCGGGGCGGGGGCGGTCCTGGCGGGGAAGCGGCCGCCTCCTCTTCCGAGCTGCTCGCTCCGCACGGGTGCAGCCTGGGTCGGTACCGGGCGGCGGGGTCGGTTCTGGGCAGCCTGGCCCGGTGGGGTGGCTACGGCTCGGTACGGCGGGGCTGGAATCGGTACGGCGGGGCTGGAATCGGCACGGCGGGGATGTGCCCGTGTTTTGCCGCCCCGCCCCGGTGCCTGGGGGGGGCCGGGCAGCCCCGGGGCCGGGGCTGGCGAGGGCGGCGCCGGGCGGGCGGCGGGGCCGGGCCGAGCCGAACCGAGCCCCGCCGCTGATCCAGTCTCTCCCCGCAGGTCAGCAGCGTCCGGGCGGCTTCGCGGGAGGCGGCGGAGGCCCGGCCCGGCCCGGTTCGGTTCGGTTCGCCTCGGCCCCGCCCGGGATGGCGGCGCTGCCGGTCCTGGCGCACTCGGTGCTGGCGGCGTTGGTGCTCTCGGCGGCGCAGGAGCCCGTCCCTCGGGTCAGCTTGCCCTACGGTGAGTTCCGCGCTCTCGAGGGGGGCCACCCCAGCGGGCTCCGGCGGGTCCCCGTCCCCCCGCGGTTACCGAGCATCCCGCCCATCCCCAGGGCTCCCCACGCCGCGGGACGGGGTGGCAGCGTGGAAACGCCTTGTGACAGCCCTTGGTGCTGAGGCTGCACAACAGCCTCCCAGCCTGCCCGGGATGCCGGGGCCCGTGGCCCACCGCGGGGCATAGCCGGGGCGGCAGCGTCCCAGCAATGGGATGCAGCAGGGAGGGCTGGGGTCGGACTGCTTGGAGGGGGCAGAGCCGCGGGGCTGTGTGTGCTGCAGGTGGGAGCAGGGGGTGTGTGCAGCTCTGCATCGGGACCCTGGATGGGTCTGGGGCACCCAGGGGTGCTCCTGTCCCCACGTCCTGTGTGTGCATGGGATGAGGTGAGCCAGGCACAGGGGTTCTGCCTGCTTCGTGTGTGGTTTTATTCTTGTTTCATGGGCAGCTGGGGGCCTGTGGGTGCCCTCCGCTCCCACTGTGTCGCTGGGGCTCTTGCTGTGCTGTGTTCAGCTGCAGGCTGCTCCAGGACCTGCTGCAGCCCCGCCAGCAGCGTGGTTCTGGTAGGGCTTGGGGCTGCACTGGGGCAGGCAGGGGGCTGTTGGGCCAGGCAGAGCCCCTTGCCGGCAATACTGTCCTGCAGACAGAGGCCTCTCACCCTGCAGAGCTCCCCGGGGCTGGGGCAGGGTGGGTGAGCAGCAGGACACGCTCCATGGGCAGCTTGGGGTCGGCACCAGCAGCTGCTGGGCCCAGTTCCATCACCCAGCGCTGGGGCTGTGGCACGGCGGGGGCCGCCCATGTGTGTCTGAGGCAGAAGGTGGCTAAATCCGGCTGTGGGGCAGCCTGGGAGGGTGCCGTGGTTTGGGCTGCGCTGGCAGCGGGATGCGGGCAGCTGGGAGCGCTCCCTGGCTCGACGCGCTGTGGTTCACCAGCGGGGACGTGGCCTCGCCACATGCTCCCGTGACCGACAGCGGCGGCTGTGGTGGCAGCAGCAGCAGCAGCAGCAGATGTGGGACCCGCCGAGCTGGCTGGGATGGCCCCCTCGGCGCTGTGCCATGCTGTGCCACGCCGCGTCGAGCCGCGCTGCCCGGTCCTGCCTGCACAGACCGGTTCTGGCTGAGCTCTGCCCAGCTGCAGAGGCTGCTGTGGCTGCGGGGCTGCAGCGCAGGGGCTGCTCCTGGGGTCACGATGTGGGTCCCAGCGCTGCCAGCTGGGGCCGGCCGGGGGGCACATGCCCGGAGCTCCGCCGGTGGCTGCGTGCTCCCGGTGCTGGCTCTGGGGGCCACGGCCGCGTTGGGGCTGCAGTTGGTGGGAGGGAGGAGCTGGGAAGCACTGGATGTGCCTCCAGCAGGTTTGTCTGGAAGAAGCAGGTCTTGTCCTAACAGGTCCCCTGGCAGCCAGCACAAGCTCCTGCAGCTCCCTGGGTTGGGATGGCAATGCGGGGTGCAGGGGCCCCCGCTGCCCCTCCGCTGCCTGCACTGGGCTGTGCGCACATTGGGCAGCATTACCCCGAAGCTGGGGCGCAGGACCCCTCCTGGGATGGTGCCCTAGGGGGTCAGCATCATTCTGGGCTGCTGCAGGAGAGCTGGGGCTCATGCCAGGTCCCTGAGGATGGGGGAGATGCTGCCCAGTGCAGTGCTAACCGGGACCTGGGGAGTGACTGGGGATGGGGAAAGGAGCAGGGTCCAGCACCGCAGCATCTCGAGTCCTTGAGCTGGCTTGCACAGAGGAAGGGCTCATGGGAGCCCTGGGGCTGAGCCCGGAGCAGGCAGGGGGTCGGGGAAGGTCGGGGTGTCCCCAGGGCACAGGGGTGTCAGGAGCGAGGGTGTTGGCAGCGTGACTCAGGCTGACACGTCCCGCTGACACAGCCGGGGCCTCTGATTCAGAGCGGCTACGGGAGAGCAGAGGAGAGGGAAGGAGGAGAGCGGAGCGGAGCAGAGGAGCGGAGCAGAGGAAGGGCTTCCGGGGCCAGGCCACCCACGCGGGACGGGCGCTCCGTGACTCAGCTGCAGGAGCCTCCCGTGTGCGGGTGCGAGGTCCCGGTGCCGGTGCCCGCCCCTCCCTGCCGCAAGCTGGGTCACTTGTGTCAGCCGGGGCCGTGCGGGACGGGACAGGCATGGCCTCGGCTGCGGTGCCTGGTGCGGGCACGGCTGCTACGGCGTGCGGGGGGGCTGTACCTGTGGCCGGGACTGGGAGCAGGCAGTGGCTCTGGCTGCCTTCAGGTGCTGTTGTGGCCATGCACGGTCACTGCGGTGCTGTGTGTGCGGGTCCAGCCCTGGCGGCTCTGTGCCGAGCAGAGGGTCAGGGCAGGAGCGGTGCGTGGGGTGCCCAGGTCCGGGTGCTGAGCACTGGGGGCTGCGGGGGGCTGAGGCTGTCCCTCTGTCCCCACAGACTCGGAGGAGCGCCTCGTGCAGCGGTTCGAGGTGCCCGGTGTGACCAACTACACAGCCCTGCTGCTCAGCCCCGATGGCAGCACCCTCTATGTGGGGGCTCGCGAGGTGCTCGTCGCCATCAACACCAGCCACTTCCAGCTCGGGGCACTGGCGCGCAGGGTGAGGATGAGGCTGAGCCCCGTTCGGGACCTCGGGAAGGGACATCTCGGTACAGGGGTCCCCTCGCTGGCGGCGTTCAGGGTCTGTGCAAGCTGCTGCACACTCAGAAGCTGCTTGGGACCGTGTGGAGCAGCTGCTGTGGTCATCGGGGTGCTTGGCCCCGGTCAGTGGCTGCCTCACCACCGTGACTGATGGTGGGGACGGGCTCTGCCAGCCCGGGGTGCTGCAGTGCGGGGGGCTCGCAGTGACTGTCCCCTCCCTGCAGCTGCCGTGGAGCGCCGATGAGGAGAAGAAGAGGCAGTGTGTGTTCAAAGGCAAGGACCCGCAGGTGAGCCGCTCCGCGTGCCTGTGCCGTGGCACGAGTGGGACGTGCCGGGGCGTGCGGGCGGGAGGCTGAGCCGCTGCTCTCACCGTGCAGAGGGACTGTCACAACTACATCAAGATGCTGCTGCGGCTCAACAGCACCCACCTCTACACGTGCGGGACCTGCGCCTTCAGCCCGGCCTGCGCCTACATCGTGAGCACGGGGGGGGGTGCTGGGGGGATCCCTGCTGCGGGACCCTGGCGCTGCCGCTCACAGCCTGCTCCCACTGCAGAACGTGCAGCACTTCAGCCTGGAGCGGGACGCGTCGGGGAAGGTGCTGCTGGAGGACGGGAAGGGACGCTGCCCCTTCGACCCCGAGTACCGCTCCACGGCCGTCATGGTCGGTAAGGCCACCGGGACCCTTGCGCTGCCGGCAGCGCCCGGCTGAACCGCGCTGAGCACGGGCCCTGGCGGGAGCGGGGCTGTGCCGGCAGCGCGTGCCGGGTCCCAGCGGGAGCGTCTCTTTGGCAGACGGCGAGCTCTACGCTGGGACTGTCAGCAACTTCCAGGGCAACGAGCCCACCATCTACCGCAGCCAGGAGAGCCGCATCGCCCTCAAGACCGAGAACTCCCTCAACTGGCTGCAGGGTGAGAGCCGGGCTGGGGTCCCCGTGCCCTGCGCTGGCGGAGGCGTGGGGCCGGTGCTGAGGGTGCCTGTGTCCCCAGACCCGGTGTTCGTGGGCTCAGCCTACCTGCGGGAGAGCCTGCCTGCCGGCAACCCCGAGGGCGACGACGACAAGGTCTACTTCTTCTTCAGCGAGACTGGGAAGGAGTTCGACTACTTCGAGAACACCATCGTGTCCCGCATAGCGCGCGTGTGCAAGGTGGGCACAGGGCAGCGGGGGTGTGCCTGGGGTGTCACTGGTGGGGTATGTGGGGATGGGGGACCTCCCTGCACATCTCCATCCTCCGGTTCCTGGACAGCCAGGGGAGGACCAGTGCCCATGGGAGACCCCTCTGGGCAGTTATGGCTCTAGATCACGCAGCTGAGGCTCAAGCCTGCTGCTCCCACCAGCATCCTTGGTGTCAGTGACCCTTTTCCCCCTCGCTCGAGGGGACACAAGAGCCATCCTCCTCTCGGGTCATGTCTCCCTCCCCGTGTGCATTGGAGCCTGCCCACTTGTGCCTCCCCGACACCGGGGCTGCTCTGCTGGGGCCTTGGCGCTGCTGCGTGCACAGACAGACAGAGCCTGCTCCACTGTCCCAGCCCATGGGGCCCTGCTGATGGGTGGCACCGCGCCCTGACCCGCTGTGCTGTGCTGTGCTGCGCTGCGCAGGGGGACCAGGGCGGCGAGCGCGTGCTGCAGCGGCGGTGGACGACCTTCCTGAAGGCGCAGCTGCTCTGCTCGCACCCCGAGGACGGCTTCCCCTTCAACGTGCTGCAGGACATCTCCGTGCTCACCCCGGGGGAGCTGCGCTGGAGGGAGACGCTCTTCTACGGGGTCTTCACCTCGCAGTGGTGAGCGGCCGGCACAGCCTGCGGGCTGGGAGGCTCGGTGGAACCGGGGTGCCTGATCCGTGCCTTCCCCCGGCAGGAACAAGGGCGGGCTGGGCAGCTCGGCCGTGTGCGCCTTCCCCATGCGCAGCGTGCAGCGAGCCTTTGGCGGGCTCTACAAGGAGGTGAACCGTGAGACGCAGCAGTGGTACACAGACACCGGCCCCGTGCCGGAGCCCCGGCCGGGCACGGTAAGCGCCTCCTCAGAGCCTGCTCAAGTGCAGGGTGTGCGGCAGCCCCTCGTGCTCTGCCCCCCGTGCCCCAGCTGAGCCCCGTCCTCTGTCCCCAGTGCATCACCAGCCACACGCGGCACCTGAAGATCAACTCTTCCCTCCAAATGCCGGACCGGGTGCTCAACTTCATCAAGGACCACTTCCTGATGGACAGCGCGGTGCGCAGCCAGCCCCTGCTGCTGCAGAGCCGCCTGCGCTACCAGCAGATCAGCGTCCACCGCACGCAGGGCCTGCACGGCACCTACGATGTCCTCTTCCTGGGCACGGGTGGGTGCCGCCGTGGGGCAGGGGCTGGTGCTGCGGGTGCCCCCGTCCCCGCTCAGCACCGTCCTTGTCTTTGCAGACGACGGGCGCTTGCACAAGGCTGTGCGTGTGAACCACGGGGTGCACATCATCGAGGAGATCCGGCTCTTCCCCGCCGGACAGCCCGTTCTCCAGCTGCTGCTGGACCAGGACCAGGCAGGAGCCGGGCACAGGCGTGCTGGGGGGCAGCCGCTAGTCATGGGCTGGGGTCTGCAGGAGCATCCCCTCTGCATGGTTCCCACTGACCCCACTGTTTCCTCTCTTTAGGGCCTGGTGTACGCAGCCACCTACACGGCAGTGGCTCAGGTGCCCTTTGCCAACTGCAGCCTGTACCGCAGCTGTGGGGAGTGCGTGCTGGCGCGGGACCCTTTCTGCGCCTGGAACCGGGGTGCCTGCCGCAGGGCAACCATGCACCCCCCAGCGCACCCCCAGTAAGTGCTGCATCCCCTGCACCCTGCAGCACCCCACTGCAGCACCCAGCAGCACCCTGCTGCCCTGACCCCTCTCTGTCTGCAGTCTCTGGGCACAGGACATCGAGGATGCTGACACGGAGCGGCTCTGCCCGTTGCCCAACACCTCCCAGCCACGTCCTCGCATCCTCCTGCCCCCAGGTGAGCTCCTGCCGCAGGGCTGCTGCCAGCCTGGGCTGTCCCAGTGTTCCCAGTGTTCCCATCACTCAGCATCCCCATCCGCTCACCGCTGTGCCCATGGTTTGTGTCCCTGCAGCCTCGGGTGCCTCGTGCCAGCGGGTGCTGCTGCCGCCCAATGCGGTGCGGCCGCTGCCGTGCCAGCTGCTCTCCAACCTGGCCTCGCGGCAGTGGCTGCACCACGGGGCGCCCGTCAACGCCTCCTACCTGGTGCTGCCGGACGGGGCGCTCATCCTGGTGGGCAGCCCCGAGCGCGCCGGCACCTACGAGTGCTGGTCGCTGGAGGAGGGGTTCCGCAAGCTGATGGCCAGCTACTGCGTGAGCCTGCAGGAGCTGCCCCGCGCGCCGCCAGACCCCGCCAGGAAGGCGGCCACCGGCCGGGACGCCCTGGACACCATCAGCACCTCGTGCAGCACATCGGCCGTGGGCAGCGCCGTGGCACGCCTGGACAGCAAGACCTACTGGACCGAGTTCCTGGTGATGTGCGTGCTCTTCGCCGCTGCAGTCCTGGTGCTGGCGCTCTTCCTCCTGCACCGGCACCGCGATGGCATGAAAGCCTTGCTGGAGCCCGGCGACCCCGGCCGGCACCAGAAGCCGCCCCGCAAGCCGGTGGAGAGCCTGCCCCTGAACGGCAGCAGCCTGCCCAGCGCGGCGCCCGAGCACAAGGGCTACCAGGCCCTGCAGGACAACTACATCGTGAGCACCCCGGTGCACGAGGCCCCCGGCGCCCAACGCGCCTTCTCCGAGTCGGAGAAGAGGCCCCTCCATGTCCGGGACAGCTTTGTGGAGGTGTCTCCCGCGTGCCAAAGACCCCGGGTGCGCCTGGGCTCCGAGATCCAGGACTCGGTGGTGTGACAGGACCGGAGCCAGGCCCGCGCCCCACACCTCCTCTGCTCTGCTGAGCCGTGCGGACCGCAGCCGGGTCCGTGTTGTCTGTGTGTGCATGCCCGGAGCCCGGCCCCGCTCCAGTGCTGGGGCTCGGCTGCCCCGGAGCTCCCGGGCATCACCTCTGCTGCTCCGGCTCCGGGAGCGAGGGGCACCAGGGGCCTTCCGGGGGCCTGCGGGATGCTCCCCCTGCGGGGATGGACTCGGTGCCTCGCCCTGGCTCTGTGGAGCCCCTCTATGCAGAGGGCAGGAGGGGCGGCTGCAGCCCCTCGCGCCCCGACTCACTGTGATGTGCCGGCGCAGGACCGGCGGCCGGGCATGTGCTGTGTGTCTGTGCTTGGTTTGGTTTTACTACGTTGGAAATGTGAATCGTGTCCGGGTGGGGGCTCCCCCGCGCCCACGTGCGTGTGCAGAAACGTTGTGGTTTTTATATAAAGTCCAGGTGTCTCCTTTGGCCCGTGTGTGCTGCGGCGGCGCCAGCCCGGGGGAACGGTGACCAGCTCACTGCGGGCAGGGGGAAGGCTGCTCCTCACCCTGAGAGGGACAGGAGGGAGGGATGGGACAGGAGGGATGGGACAGGAGGGATGGGACAGGAGGGAGGGATGCGCTGGTGCTCAGATCTGGTCTGTGCAGTTCCCATGTGCTTGGCTGTGTGTTGGGCTGGGGCAGTCGAGGCTCTGCAGGGATGCGGCTCTGTCATTGCAGGGATGCTGCCAGGGCTGCTGCTGGGGGGTCCCTGTGGCCCTGCTGTTGGGTGCTGTGCATCACAGCAATGCTCAGTTCTGGGGCTGTGCTGTGGCAAGCCCGGTGGGACAGAGCTGCAGAGCGATGGGTGATGTGGTCCCAGCAGGAGGAAGGCTGAGGTGACCAAAGTGGGTGCCGTGGTGCTAGGAGTGGGGCAGCCTCTGGCAGGAGCATGGCTGTGGCAGCTCCTTACCCAGGACCAGGGTGTCCTTGTCCCTGTGTGCACAGTTGCAGGCAGGCCCCAGCTGCTTTGCCAGTGGGATTTGGCTCCATGAGGGCTGATGGCTGGGACTGCTGGTGCGGCAGCACTCGTGAGCCCTCGCACAAGCACAGGGCAGGGGGGAGCAGCGTGTGGAGGCAGGAACCCCCCCAGGGCCGGCACTGCCCGCTCCCGGCTGGACCAGCGCACCCGGCTTCCTGCCCAGCCTGTTCTGGGACATCAAAACAGCCACCGGAGGCATTGGCTGGTGCGGTGCCAGCAGACACGGCCCCCAGGGCTGCAGATACCATCAGCACCGCGGGCACTGAGCTGGAAGGGCTGGGAACAAGGAGCTGGCGCGTGAGAAAGGCACAGCCCTGAGCTGCAGCACCGGTGGGACAGAGCGGGCACAGACAGGAGCTCCAGACCCGCAGCCCTGATCCAGCTCTGGGGCAGCAGCACCAGAGGGACCTGGAGCTGCTGGAGTGAATCCAGAGGAGGCCATGGAGATGCTGCGAGGGCTGGGGCAGCTCTGCTCTGGAGCCAGGCTGAGAGAGCTGGGCTGGGGCAGCCTGGAGAAGAGAAGGCTCCTGAAGGGGAGACCTGAGAGCAGCTCCAGTGCCTAAAGGGGCTGCAGGGAAGGCCACAGAAGCTGCGGCTGCCCCATCCCTGGCAGTGCTCAAGGCCAGGTTGGACACAGGGGCTTGGAGCAAGCTGCTCCAGTGGAAGGGGACCCTGCCCGTGGCAGGGGCTGGAGCTGGATGGGCTTTAAGGTCCCTTCAACCCAAACCCCTCTGTGGCTCTCTGATTCTTTGCTCCTGGGAAAGGCAGGACCATGACAGGGAACCGCTGGAAGCGCAGGCAGCGCAGGCAGGGCCGTTGCTGTGGCTGGCAGCAGGCCAGGCCACACTGATGGATGAACAGACACAAAGGCCCTGGCGCTGCCCGCAGCAAAGGTGGCTGCTGGCCTGCCCTGGATTTCCCTTTGTGCCTCCTGCCGCAGACCCAGCTCTTTGTGCTGCTGAGAACAAGGCCTGGGCCTGCGGAGGGAGGTGGCCTGCGGAAAGGGCTGTCAGCAGGCAGGACGTGGGACCTGTCCCCTGGAGCTGGCGCGGGCAGAGGGGCCTGGCAGGAGGCTGTGTCCCCAGCACCCCACATGGCACCCGTCCCGCAGTGCTCCGGCGCAGCCCCTGCAGCCACACAAAGGCAGCACAGAGCAGAGCCTGAAACCAGAGCCCTTTATTTGTGTCCTGCAGCACAGAGGGAGGAAGAGGCCGGGGCAGTGCGGCTGGGAAGGAAAGGGGAGCAGTGTGGTGAGTGCCAAGGGGTCAGGCGCCTCGTACAGCAAGGAGTGGGACAGCTCTGCTGCCAGGACAGCACATCCCCAGCGCCCCTTGGGTCACTGCTCAGAGCAGTGGGTTATTGCTTGGAGAAACCACTCCGTGGGGGGGGGGTTATTGCTTGAATGGCTCCATGGCCATGGGCAGGGGCTTGGGGAGGAGAGGCAGCTCCCCGCCTGCTGCTGAAGGCACAAATTGGTCCTGAGGGCAGAGAGGGGACCCCAGCCAGGAGCACCCCACCAGAGCTGCCCTTGCTTTGCATAAGGAGTTCAAAACTACCCTGGGAGAGCAGAGGGCCTGCCGGGAATGCAGCAGCTTCCAGAGCCACCTCTGAAAGGGAGCAGGAGGGGGTCCTGCCTAAGGCACTGTGTGGTGCTGCTGATGAGCCAGGCAGGGCTCCTGGGTGCCGCTGCTGGGAGAGGAAACATCTGAGAGCACGAGGAGCTGCAGGAGCAGGAGGAGCAGCTCTGCTGGAGAGCCGCAGGGTGCTCACAGGACGATCTTGAAGGAGCTGCAAGAGACACAACAGGTTCTGCACCTCCCCTGGGGCACACGCAAGTGGTTTGTGAGCACCCAGTGCTGTGAGGCGCAGCATTACCCCCATGGGATGCGGCTCTGCTGTTATGGGAGACCTCTACAGGGTGGCCTTGTCCTGCAGCCACCGAGAGCTCTGCCCCAGCGCCAGCACAGCGATATGGGGGGATCCCCAGAGCGAGCTGTGCTGCTGCAGACCCTGTACCTGGTGAAGTCCGGGGAGCGGGAGACGACGTGCTGGAACTCGGAGATGTTGATGGTGCCATCCTTGTCAATGTCAGACTCCTCCAGGATCTGAAAGGAGAGGGAAAGGCGAGCGGTGAGCTCGTGCGGCTGGGATCATGCAGGGGCTCATGCCCTGCCTCATGCTCCTCACGTTTTGGATGAGCTGCTCCATCTCTGCGCTGCTCAGCCGGGACTCCTCGCCTTGCCCCGTCAGGCAGTTCACCAGCTTCTCCAGGTCCTTTCTGTCCAGGGTCCCATCGTCATCAAAGTCTTTAGGGAGAGGAAAGTTATGTTTTGTCAGGGCCATGGCAACCCCAGAGAGCCGTGAGGAAAGGGCCTGGCAGCGCGAGGACACCGGAGGCTCCACACTGCACCTCTCTTGGTGCGCAGCATCGCACCAAACCAGCGGCTCCAACAGGAGTTTCTAAGGCCCTCTGGGATTCACCCATGACCCCCCCCATCATGAAGTGTGTGGACCCCAGGACCCAGCTTCCACCCCAGCCCCACCAAAGATGCGGAAGGCGTAGTGGGATTTGATGTCTGAGGTCGCAGCGTCGCTGAAGGCACTCAGCATATCGAGGAAGTCTTCAAAGGACATGCTGTCATCCCCGTCTTCCGACGTGGAGAACACATGGCAGATCCGGTGCTGGAAAGGGTTTGCCTGCAAAAGGGAACGGCTCAGGGCAGGGCCGGGCTGGTTCCGGCGTGGCAGACACCAGCCACAGGCTACTGCGAGCCCCAGTGCGCCTCCCAGGAGCAGCCCCGCGCCGCAGGGATCCCCAGGCTCCCCATGGAGTGGCGGGATGCGGAAGCCGGGTGCTGGCACAGCAAGGGAACAGCTTCCCGGTGGCTGCTGGAGCAGCACGCCCAGGGCAGCGCCCGGCACTGCGACCGGTAAACAGGGCCCTGCCCAAACCCGCCCAGCCCCAGGGCTCCGCAGCGCGTCCCGCTCGCTGCCTGCTCAGCACCGTACCCGCAGCTCCGGCAGCGTCAGGATGCGGCTCTTGGGAACGCGCGCGGAGCAGGCGTTCTCCCTCTCGTCCTTTGGCAGCAGTTCACTGAACCTCTTGTAGGCACTTGAAGAGGCAAGAACAAGCGCGGCTCTGTGGCGGGAGGCAGCCCTCTGGGCACGGGCAGCGCGGCAGCGGTTCCCAGCCCGCTTCCCACAGCCCCTGCCAGCGGTGCGGAGCGGGATGCGGCAGGAGCCGGCCAGGGTGATCCTGCAGCAGCCACGGCTCCAGCCCCGCTCCGGGCACCGCAGCGGCCGCCAGCAGGGCGAGACGCCGGCCCTGGTGCCTGCCCCCCCGGGACTTCCAGGAGGGAAGAGCAAACTCCCGCCAGGCCACGGCCAGCGTCCCGCTCTGCGGGGTGGCACCAGCCAGACCTTTGCCCCATGAAGCCGGGCTGGCCAGGGAAGGCTCCGCCGGGGCCCGGCTCCCGCGGGGCGTCGAGCGGCCGCTCGTCGGGAGGGCGCCCCAGGGCAGAGACAAGGCCCCCCCCGGTCCCGCAGCGCCGGTCCCGCTCCCCGCCCGCGGCAGTTACTCACAGCAGGATCTCCTGCTTGCTCAGGAACGTCAGCTCCTGCGGGGAGAGCGGGGGTCAGCGCTGGGCCGGGGGGGCTCGGCCCCGGGGCTCCGTCCAGCCCCGCCAGAGCCGACGCCGGCGCCCGTACCTGGTACTCGCCCAGCGCCTCCCGCGGCAGCAGGCTGGCCGAGCCCCCCATGGCGGCCCGCGCCGCTCACCGCCGCTTCCGCCGCTCCCGTGGCCTCAAGCCCCGCCCCAAGGCGCCCTAAAGCCCGCCCGGCGCACCGGCCGCGATGGCGGCGGAGGGCGAGGAGTCGGGCTCCGGGGAGCCGGAGCTTGAGGAGTTCGTGTACGGGGAGGAGGACTTCGTGCAGCAGGCAGCCGGGTGGGAGGCCGAGCCCGACTCCGCGCTGTCCCGCTTCGACCGGGCGCTGCTGGCCAGCTGGACCGACAGGATGGAGCGCGGCTTCTTCCGGTACCGGCTGGGGCCGCTGCCCACCCGTGTCCTGCCCGGCCCCATGCGCCTCGTGGCCCAGCTCAACGTCCAGCGCAGCACCGAGCGCCGCCCGCCGCAGCTGGTGCACAGCCTCCGGCAGCCCTTCGACCCCCGAGCCTTCAACTTCACGCGGCTGGTGCGGGGCGAGCTGCTGCTCCGGCTGCGCGGGGCCGGCCCCGCCGCCCCCGACCCGCTGCTGGTGGCCATCAACGCCAGCCCGCTGGAGCGCGGCCACGTCCTGCTGCTGCCGGACCCGGCGCGGCGCCTGCCGCAGGCGCTCACGGCCCCGGCGCTGCGCGGGGCGCTGGAGGCCGCGTTCCTCAGCGCGCACCCGGGCTTCCGCGTGGGCTTCAACGGCCTCGGCGCCCGCGCCTCCGTGAACCACCTGCACCTCCACGGCTTCTACCTGCCGCGGCCGCTGCTGGTGGAGGCGGCGCCGGCCCAGCCGCTCTGCCGCGGCCTCAGCATCCTGCGCGCCGTCCCCGCGCCCGCCTTCCTCCTGTACGCGGCGGGCCCCGCGGCGCTGCCGGCGCTGTGCCAGGACGTGTGCCGGGCCGCGGAGCACCTGGCGGCCGCGGGCCTGGCCTACAACCTCTTCGCGACGCGGGGCGAGGCCCCGGAGGGCGGCGGGGCCGGGCGCGGGCTGCGGGTGCTGCTGTGGGCGCGGCGGCCCAGCTTCGGGAGCGCGGCGGGCGCGGGGCTGGAGGTGGCGCTGTGCGAGCTGGCGGGGTACCTGCCGCTGCCGGCCGCGCCGCTCTTCGGCCGCATCACCGAGCAGGAGGCGCTGGGCGCCATCCGGGAGCACCTGCTGCCGGAGCCCGACCTGCTGCGCCTCGGCGGGGACCTGGCGCGGCTCCTGCAGCGCTGAGCGGCACCGGCGGAGGCTGCGCCCCAACGGCCGCGGGGGGAGCCACGCTGTCGCCATGGCAACGGGGCAGCCGCCGGCACAGGGCGCGATGGAGACCGGCGGCTGGGGGCAGAGCGCGGGCCCCGGCACCCCCGACCCCGAGCAGCGGAGGAGGCGGAGGAGGCGCAGGCGAGTGCGGGGGGCTCGGGCCCGGTCCTTGTGCCCGGCTGTGTCCGCCGGTACCGCGGGGCGGTGCTGTCCCGGAACCCGCCCTTCCGAGCGCACACCCCCTTCGCCGCCCCCAGGGCCCTTCCGAGCCGCAATAAACGCTCTTCCCCTGAAACTGTCCCGATAATCCCGACCCTGCCGCGCCCCCGGGCGGCCCCGCAGTTGGGACCCTCTTTGGTGCGTTGGCTCCGGGTCACGTTTCCCGTTAGCCCGGGCTGTGTGTGTGTGATGCGTGAACGGCCTCCCGCTGTGCCCGGGACGGGGCCGCGGTTCCTCACTGAGCTCTTCTGTGGTCTCTCGATTGCAGCGTTCCCTCCATCAACCTGACCACCTGCAGGTACGAGAGCGGTAAGTCCGGGGCGCTGCAGGATGTCCCTTGGGTGCCACCGACAGCGAGGGAGAAGGGCTGGTGCCGCATCCCCTCCCCGTGCTCGCTTTGGTTTTACGTCCATGGGTTGCAAGTGGCCTGGACCCGTGTGAGGTGTGGGGTGTTGCACCCCCTGGACTGAGGTGCCCTGCTTTGGCCTTAAATCTGCTAGAATTGGTGACAAGGAATCGTGGAATCACAGAATCCCAGGTTGAAGGGACCTCGAGATCCCCTCCTTTCCAGGTTGGACCAGGAGCAGCAGGACATAGACTGGATGTCCCATTACGCTGTCCCAGCAAACCTTAACAGTGTCCAGTGCTGGGCAGTCACTGCCTCCCTGGGGAGATTATTCCAGTGAGAAGGGTTTAGTTAGGAGCAGTTGCAATGCAAAACCAGTACCTGTGCATCTGTTAAACATAAAGGCAGTGACAAAACATGCAGGCTGTCTGCTTCCAGTGACATGTTCCAAGGAGCTGGTCCCCTCCTGCCCTGCTCCTCTTCATTGCCACAAGCACTATCTTAACATCCATCAAATGCCAGGAGCCTGTTATTAGCCAGTTTGCTAAGGGCTGTTCTCGCTGTGTGACCACGTTGTGAAGGTCACAGCATGAGGAACATGGGGTTTAGGCAGTGGGATGGGCGCTGAGGTTCCACCGGGGCTGTGTTGGGGCAGTTTGGTGGTGGAAAGCAGATGGGACTCAGGGCAGGAGGCGGTTGGCAAGAACCAGAACCATTTCACAACGGTTCCTGGCATGCAGTGACCTTCATCAGCTCCCCAGCCCTGCAAGAGGCCCGGTTCAGAACTGGTGCTAACGCAGACCTGCTGCAGGGCTTGTGCGTGCTGCTGCTGGGTTGCTTTTGATTTCCAAGCACAAACTCACACCTTCAGAAGGCTCGTGTCTGCCTGCGTGGTGCCAGGCCCAAGTGCCTGTAGTTCAGGAGGGACCCTGAGCATGGGGGCTTAGAGGGCTGATGGCTCCCAGCACAGCCACAGCCAGAGGCTGAGGTGGGTTTAGGTGGGTACCACTTGTGTTCCGGCCACCTCCTGCTGGTCCCACTGGTGCCCTGCATCTCAGAGGGGAGCTGCGGCTGCAGAGCCTGGTTCCATGCTCCAGCCCAGGTTCCCGAGGGGATTTAACAGACCCTGGTACTTAGTTCCCCTGCCTGCCCCTTGTGACCTGCTTGCTTTGGCGCAGTGCGGCAGGCAGCGCGGTGCTGCGGGCTGAGAGAGGCGGGAGAACACGAGGAGTGGACGGTGTACTGGACGGACAGCTCGGTCTCCTTGGAGCGTGTCATGGACATGAAGCGCTTTCAGGTAAGTGCCCCCGTGGGAAGGCAGGAGTTGCCCAGGAAGGAAGGAGGGGGAGATGGGGCTGTTAACAGAGCAGTGCCCACACCCCTACCTGGGCCCCCTTCACACCAGCTCTGGAGGTTCACAAGCCTTTCCTGCCCGTGTGCCTCTGGTGTACGGTGCCATCAGCAGCGCTCTCAGTTAGTGCTGTGAGCTGGAAAGCTGCCAGCCCCTTTAACACCGCATGAAATAAATGGCTATGATGACAAATGGCTCCTTCCTGAAGCTGTGATGTTGGAGGGCGGGAGAGCTCCAGGGCTGAGGTGCAGGGAGCAGATAAATCACGCTGGCAGCAGTTGCAGTGTAACCTCCTCCCTCAGCAGCGGGTCAAGGCACCCGCGGGCCCGGCTCCTTGTGCTGCCGTTGCTTCCTCCACACAGGGGCTTCCCTCAGCCTCCGGGAGGGTCCCTGCTCTGCCTGTGCTGATCCCGGGTTTTGGCTGCGCCTCTTCCAGAAAATCAACCACTTCCCAGGCATGATGGAGATCTGCCGCAAGGACTTGCTGGCTCGGAACCTCAACCGCATGCTCAAGCTCTTCCCCAAGGAGTACAAGATATTCCCCCGCACCTGGTGCCTGCCAGCAGAGTGAGTGATGCAGCGCAGTGCAGCTGAGAGCAGGGGCATGGAACTGGGAGCTGGGAGCCTCTCTCTTTGCTGTGCAGCAGGGGCTGGGATGGGGCCTCACTGAGCTCTCACCTCTCGGTCCAGGCATTCAGGATCTTCCCTGGCACTCCAGGGGATGTGCAGACACATTTCTCGCTTGGCACCTCTTTAATTCCCATTGGAATTAGCCCAGGAAGGGCACAGGACAGGGCATGAGGCGCACGAGGGGCCGCAGCCGGTCACAGCCATCCCTTCCCTGCACAGCTACGGGGACTTCCGGGCCTACGGATGCACGAGGAAAAAGGGAGCGTTCATCTGCAAGCCAGAGAGCGGCTGCCAGGGGAAGGGGATCTTCATCACCCGTGACCCCCAGGACATCAAGCACGGGGAGCACATGATCTGTCAGCAGTACATCTCCAAGGTAACGGGACCCAGCTCTCCCTGCATCCCGCATCCTCCCTGTGTCCCTGCCCTCCCTTACCCTGGTTCTGCCCGGAGCAGAGGTGCGGTGAAACCTGGCGCTGGCCTTGCTGCCGAGGAGCAGCCAGCTTGGCAGCGCTGCTTCACCCCCGCCTGCTCCTGCTCCTGCTCCTGCTCCTTTCCTCTCGCAGCCTTTCCTCATTGATGGCTTTAAGTTCGACATGCGCCTCTACGTGCTGGTCACCTCCTGTGACCCGCTGCGGGTTTTCGTCTACAAGGAGGGGCTGGTCCGCTTTGCCACCATGAGGTACATCGATCCCAGCAGCAGGAAACCGGGCAAACAGGGAGGTTTCCAAAGGACTCGCACAGCGTCTGTAAGTGCTGGTACCCACTGTGTCCGAGGGGCACTGCGGAGCATGGAGAGGCCCGGCCAGGGGGTTCCATGGGGTCCAGTTTGTCTCTTCCCTGTTCTCCCCACCCTGTACCTCCTCCTCCTCCTCCCCACAGGAGGTATTTCAGGTGACTGAAGCAGATCTGCTCCCAGGCCCCGTGTCTGGGCTGTTTGCTGGCGTTATCACAGAATCATGGGCTTGTTTTGCTTGGAGGAACCCTGGAAGGTCAACAATAAATCCATCTCTGGTTTCCTGGGGGTTCACCCAGTCAGGGATGGGAAACCCACAAGGACAACAGGTCCCATGGAGTCTGGGCAACACTCTACTGCCTCTTGCCTTTATGGGCATCCTCGAGCCTGCACCGTTCCTCACCTGCCTGGGCTCTGGGTGCAAACCAGGGGATTACCTGGAACAGCCTAGGAGAGAGTGGAGGGGAACTGGGACAGCAAGGCGCGGGCTGCGGCCGTACCCATCTCCAAGCAGGATCTGTAGCCTATAAAATCCCATCAGGAGGTGGGCTGTAGTGTTGGATTGCTGTGCGTGCTCACAGGCTGCCTGCCTGCTTGCCCCAGAGCTGCACATGCCCACGCTCCCTTGCCCTGGTACCTGCACAGCCTGGCAGCCCCTTGCTCTGGGGCAACAAAGAACCTGCCACAAAGAGATGTGCTGCAGCTTCTGCCCCAGAGCCCCTGGGCACCAGTGGGGCCGAGGAACAAGGACAGAGGTGCGGAGGGGGCAGAGCTCTCAGCTCTGGCTCCTGCCAGGGAGGGCATCAGCACACGGAGCGGGGCTTGGTGGGTGCCCCGGGCTGTTGCTGTCGATGCGCTGTGGTTCAGAGCTCTCTCGCGGTTCTCTCCCAGGATGATATCTGCATGCACTTGACCAATTATGCTATCAACAAGCGTAACGAGAACTTCGTCCAGCACGACACCATGGGCAGTAAGAGGTATTGCCATGCCCAGGTTCCGCCCTGCCACATCCCGCAGGAAAGCTGCATCTGGGGCACTGCTTTACCTCCATCCTCCTCGTGGCGAACGTGGTACCCCAGGTCAGCTCGTACCATCTCCTGTCCTCCCCGCAGGAAACTGTCCACCCTGAATGCCTGGATGGCGGAAAACAGCTACAACACGGCAAAGCTCTGGGAAGATGTTGACGATATCATCATAAAGACTCTTCTCTCAGCTCACCCTGTTCTGAAGCACAATTACCAAAGCTGCTTCCCAAGCCACACCTCCGGCTCTGCCTGCTTTGAGATACTGGGGTTTGACATCTTGCTGGACAGAAAGTTGAAGCCGTGGCTGCTGGAGGTGAGCAGGAGCTGCTGCTGAGGGAGCTGGGCTGGGGCCGGGGCGGGGGGGGTGAATGGGATTTGTCTGATTAAAAAGGGCCACCACATTCACCAAACCAAACAGGCTACGAAGGCCAGTACGCAAGAAACTGCTGTGAGCTAAGCGGGATCTAAGAGCCCATTCCCTGTGCACCCTCTCTCACAGCAGGGAGGTTCCTGGACTTCAGAACTCCTTGACCTGTAGCAGCATCCTGACCTTACACCCACGCAGCCCCCCGAATGCAGTCCCGTGGGGGTGGGATCTGAACAAGCGGCAGTGCAGATGGCAGCTCTGTCACTGTCACACACAAGAGCACCCATGGAAGTGTGTGGAGGGGCTGGCTGGAGCCGGGAGCTGCCAGGTGAGATGAGCTGCCTGCTTCGGCAGGTGAACCATTCCCCCAGCTTCAGCACGGACTCTCGCCTAGACCGGGAGGTGAAGGATGCTCTTCTCTGTGATACCATCAACCTGATAAATGTGAATGCCTGTAACAGAAGGAAGGTGGTAGAGGAAGACAAGCAGCGGGTAAAGGAACGGCTCCTCCAGTCTCATCAGGCTTCCCGTCCATCCAGGTATTGCTCTTCCCCATAGCGCTGCAGGGCCCTGGTGAGAAAAGATGGGCCGTGGCAGAGCAGGATGAAACTAAGGCTGGCTGCCTCCAAGCTAAAGCTCCCAAAGCCCATGGCACTGTACAGACTCTCAGATCTCCCAAGCCCTCTGCACCCAGCAGGAAGAGCCAGGGCTCCTCTCTAGGTGCTAGATCAGAGACACCGAGTGCTCTGGGCACTGTACAGGGTCATCCCCACTGCCTGGCCCATCTTTCAGTGCCGATGGGCAGTGCCAGTATCCCCTGTGACGCTCGCAGCACCGATCACATCACTGCCTGAGGGACCAAGAGCACATGGGGGCATGGGGCCCTTCCCAGGCAGGGCTCCTTTCCCAGGGCTGAGGGTTTCCCCCCTGTTCTCTCCCTGTGTGCCCTTTCATGAGGCTGTGGTAGAGGAACCCCTGCCCGGGCTCCTCCTGCCATGCAGCTCCCGTTTCCATTGGGAGACCTGAGGTAGCTGAGAGCTGGAGCCTCTGAGCATGTTTTAGACCTGAGCCCTGCTGCCCCTGCAGCCTCGGCTGCCCCGAGCTCCCTGCGGGTGAGAACAGCCCCAGCAGCGTGTGGGGCGATGGGGTCAGCGTTAACAGAGCTCCTGGCACTGGGTGTGGTGGGGGTGGGGGGGGGGGGTGCCGTGTCCCTTGGCAGGCGCGAGGAGCTGCAGAGCAGGCAGGAGGCCTGGCTGCACCAGGCACAGCTGTACGAGGACGCGCACCTCGGCGGGTACCGGCGCATCTACCCGGGCCACGGCACCGAGCGCTACGAGCGCTTCTTCAAGCACTGCGGCTCCCTCTTCCAGGAGACGGCCTCATCCAAAGCACGGGAGCAGTGTGCCAGGTACGGCCCCGCGGCTGCACAGAGCCCTTCCCATCCTGGGGGCAGCTCTGTGCTTCAGATGGGAGCATGCTGGAGGTGAAGGACCCTGCGTGGGCTGTGGCACCGCAGCACAGCCGCTTCCCTTGGGAGGCAGATGCAGCATTCCATGGACTCCAGGGGCACGGTGCCGCGAGGGTCCTTCACCTCTCCGGGGGGCACAGCCCAACTCAAGGCATTTCTTAGAGAAGTGAGCATCTCCTGGCCCATTTCTTGGCACCTATTGCAGTCTGCTCACTACACAACTCCTGACTGCAGGAAAATGCCCCTGGATTGAAGGGTTCATGAGAACCCCTTGCTGTTGTGGCTCCTGCTGAACCACTGAGATAACTGACTGGGACTCCTCTCTGGCAGGCAGCAACTGGAGGAAATCCGCCTGAAAAAGGAGAAGTTCGAAGCTGCCATCGTGAAGAAGAAAGCAGAGAGGAAGGGACTGCTGCATGGAGAGTCAGCAGGGGACAAACCCCGGACCTGCACGACCAGCACAGCGCCTTCAGCCCGCCTCCCCTCCAGAAGCAGCAGGATATGGGATGGGAAGGTATCTTCCTTCCTCTTGTGGTGGTCTGTGGGGCTCCCAAAGGCAGTGGTGTGGTGCTGGGAACAGCGTGGGTCAGTGGGTGTCTACATGGAGCAGAAGCACAAGGTCCTCCTCACGCAGTGCAGAGTTGACAGCTTGTGCTGGGAGGTGGCCACTGCAGTGGCTCCCATGGGGATTTTCATCCCACCTCGCCCCAAGTCTGTTCCTCTCCTTAGGGCTCAGAGCACCTCAGGCCTTTGTCTCTGCTGTGCATCGCTTCCTCTGTGCTGTAACTCAGTTCCCCCCTTCCCAAGGCACAGCACGCACAGGTTGACTCCATGCAACCCCAGGATATCGTGGCAAATGAGGAGAGGAAAAGAGTAAATGCCCTGCTGCAGCGTGAGAACCTGATCCGGAGCCTGGGCATCGTAAAGCAGCTCTCCCACCTGCAACCTGCACCCCAGGCAGCAGCTGACACGCAGAGGGCCCTCCCCGCTGACTGCAAGAGCCAGGTAACTGAGCAGCACCCCGACTGCTTCTGCATGGCCAGCACAGGAGAAAGCCATTCCCAGGAGGATGGCGAGGATGGATTGCAGGCAATGAGCATCCCTGGCTCAGTCAAATGAGATCCAACACAGTGTACTGGGTCCCTTTCCAAATGGGTGTGCTGGGGGTGTTCCCATCACTGCAGAGTCCCTGGGTGCTCCTCCCCAGAAAATCCTGATGTTCCGAGGAACACACCACAACAATACTGTCTTTGGGACACTGCTGTGCCCAGCACACAGCCAAGTGTGAGGGATGGGGAGCTGCTGGAGTGAATCCAGAGGAGGCCATGGGGATGCTGCAAGGGCTGGGGCAGCTCTGCTCTGGAGCCAGGCTGAGAGAGCTGGGCTGGGGCAGCCTGGAGAAGAGAAGGCTCCTGAAGGGGAGACCTGAGAGCAGTTCCAGTGCCTAAAGGGGCTGCAGGAAAGCTGGAGAGGGGCTTGGGACAAGGGATGTAGGGACGGGCCAAGGGGAATGGCTTGAACCTGCCCGAGGGGAGACTGAGCTGAGCTCTTAGGCAGAAGCTCTTCCCTGTGAGGGTGCTGAGGCGGGATTTGAGTCTGGGATGGGGATGGGGATGGTGCTGGTGATGTGCCCGGGGCAGCACCCGGAGCGCTGCTTTGGGGAGTGCCTGTGGGTGACCAGTGGAGATGTCTCCTTCCCGTCTCTCCAGGGTAAGCGCGGCTGCTTTCCCTCCCTCCAGCCGCAGCAGCACCGGGATGCACTCGGGGGCCTCACGACGCTCGGCCCCTTCTCTCTCCCGAGACACCCGCTCCGCTCTTTGGGACAGCAGCGCTCGGACAGCCCCAGGGCTGGGGTGCAGCTGCCGCCCGGCCTGGGCTCGGGCTCTGCACCCGCGCTCTTGATTCAAGGCAAGAGGATCCCCTACGCGGCACGGCAGAGCCTCCGGTCACCGAACAGGGGCCGGCTGTGGGGCTGGGCAGCAGCAGCAGCGGGCACCGGGCCCGAGGGGCAGCAGGAGCGAGGCCAGCAGCTCCCCGATGCTGGCAGCGAGGCTGAAGGCTGTGAGTACACATCACCTTCCTCCAGCTCTGCGTGCCTGCACCGCGGAGGCTGCAGGGGTGAGCTGGAGCCAGGGGCAGGTGCTGTGGGTGCTCCTCTGCTTGCCAGGGGGGAGAAGTGGGATGGAGCTCAGAGCTCCTGGGGTGCTCAGACCCTGCAAGGGGACACTGAGCTCTTCTCTGGGGACTGGTGACCCCCAGAGTCCCTGCCCGCAGCTCCCAGCATCGCACTTGGAGGGGCAGGGAAGGAAGTGGTGGCTCCTCAGGACCAGCAGTTTATGTGTTGGGATGGGGGAGCATGAGAAGATCCCACCTTCCCCCAGCCCTGCCCAGCTCTCCCCAGTGGCTGTGCACCAGGGCCAAGCACCATGAGGGGGGCAGGGGGTTGCTGACCCCCAGAGCCGCCTGCCTGCACCCCAGCTCTGCCTGTGCTCTTCCAGGTGAAGCTGGCAGGCTGTCCCTCAGCGCAGGGGGCTGGCACCCGGGCTCGCCGGCCAGCACCGGACGGGACACACGCACCGGCACCTTCGGCCGTGCTGCCTCCCCGGAGCTGCCCCGCTCCCCAGCCTCGCACCGCGCCGGACCCTCGCGGGTTACGCACAGGTAACGGGGCAGAGCGGACCCCGCGCTCGGGCTTCCGCGCTCCGTCCCCTCCTCGGCTGGAGCCTGGGCCCCGGGTCGGGTCGGGCAGCACCGACACCCCCTTGGCTTGCACCGTGCGCGCACCCCTCAGTGGCTGCCCTGTGCCCGTGACCCCCGGCGCGCCCGTTCCGGGCATCCCGGCGGGCCCGGCTCCGCCCCCGGCGCAGCCCCGCCCGGTTCCCGTGCCATGGCGGCGCTGCTGCGGCGCGGGTTGAGGGCGGCCGCGCTGCTCACCGGGACCTCGCGGCGGGCGGCGGCGGCGTGGTGGGGGGCACCGGAGCCGCCGGACCCCGCGATGGAGGAGGCCGAGAGGGGCGGGGAGGCGGCACCGGGGCTGCGGGGCCGGGGCTCTCACGTGTCCCCTCTCAGGCCGCGGCAGCGGCGGCGGGAGCCGGGCAGGGAGCGCGGAGCCCCCGAGCGCACGCTGACCTGGTCGGCCATGGAGCAGATGCGGTGAGCGCAGGGCCGGGCCCGGTGACCCTTCCCCGGTGACCGCCGCCCCCCGCTGACCGTGCTCGTGCCCGCAGGTTCCTGCGGCAGGAGCTGCCCGAGGAGTGGCCGCTGGAGCGCCTGGCCCGGGGCTTCGGTGTCAGCCCCGACGTGGTGCGGAGGGTGCTGCGGAGCCGGGCCTGCCCCCCGCCGCACCGCCGCCTGCGGCAGGACCGGAAGGCGCTGAACGCCGCGCCAGGATCGGCACCGGGCCCGGAAACCGGCCGCGAGGTGCGCGCCCCCGACGGCACGCTGCTGTACCGGGTGCCCTGGGGCGGGCCGGGGCCCGGCGAGCTGTGAGCGGCCGCGGGAGCACCGCCTCCTCCCGCGCCCGCTCCGCCTTGGCCATGGCCTCCGACGCGGCGCGGCTGCTGGACGCGGCGGAATTCGCGGCCCAGAAGCACCGGGAGCAGCGGCGGAAGGACCCCGAGGGCACCCCTTTCATCAACCACCCCATCGGTGCGGAGACCGCCCGGCACCCCCCCGCACGGGGCCCTCCCTCCGGCCCGACCCGGGCCCAGCAAAGCACCCTGGCCTGCTCCCGGTCGGGGCAGACCCCCCGCGGCCGAGCTCGGGGCGGTTTTGGGGGTCTGCCCACGCTCTGCCACTGCCTTGTCCCCTTGTCCCCCGGTTCTCCCTTGTCCCTCTGACCCGTCCCTGCGGTCTCCACATCCCTCCCCATTATCCCCACAGCTCCCCTTGTCCTCACAGCCCCCTCTTTCATCCCTGCTTTCCCCCTACAACCTTCCACTTGTTCCTACGGGTTCCCCCCGTCCCTGGTTTCTCCCTCTGGTCCCTGGCCCCACAGTCCCCCGCCTGCCCTTCCTGCTCACCCGCAGCCCACCCCCCTAACCCTAACCCATTCGCTGCCCCACGCTCCCCATCACCCTGCTCTGCCCCTCAGCCGTCGCCCGGATCCTGGCCTGCGAGGCCGGTGTGACCGACATCGAGCTGCTGCAGGTGATGCTCGGTTTCCCCTCCCGTGTTCCCCGCCGCGGGGTCGGCCCCATCCCGACCCGCCCGCCCCCCCGCAGGCCGCTCTGCTGCACGACACGGTGGAGGACACGGACACCACGTTCGCGGAGCTGGAGGCGCGGTTCGGCGCCGCCGTGACCGGCCTGGTGCGGGAGGTGACGGACGACAAGGAGCTGCCGCGGGCCGAGCGCAAGCGGCTGCAGGTGGAGCGGGCCCCGGGCCGCAGCCCCCGCGCCAAGCTGCTGCAGCTGGCCGACAAGCTGCACAACCTGCGGGACATCGCCCGCTGCACCCCGGCAGGTACGGGAGCACCGGGCCCGCTGCGGCCGGGGCTGCTCCGCTCCCTGCCAAGGGCCGGGCGGGTTCCCGGTCCAACCGGGCGGCTCTGAGCCCAGCGGGTGTCTGGGGGGAGGTGGTGTGAGAGAGAGCGGGACGGTGCCGGGGGAAGCGGAGCGGGCGGCGGGCGGCGCTCAGCGCCCGGTGCTCCCGGTGCAGGCCCCGGCTCCGGCTCCCGGCGGGGCTCGTGACGCGGCTCGCGCGTGTCCCCGCAGGGTGGTCGCCGGAGCGCGTGCAGGAGTACTTCCGGTGGGCGGCGCAGGTGGTGTCCGGCCTGCGCGGGACGAGCCCCGCGCTGGAGGCGGCGCTGGACCGGCTCTGGGCGGAGCGCGCCGAGGGACCGGAAGCGGGATCGGGGTCCGCGGGCGATGCGGGACGCGACAGCCAATAAACGTGCACAGAGCTGATATCCCGCCCCCTGCGTTGCCATGGCACAGCGCACTTCCGGCGCGGGGGTTCCGGCGGGGCCGCGGCCGCGGGTTGATGTTCCGGTTGCCGTCATGGCCTCCCCTGGCAGCCGCGACGCGCCCGAGGCGCCCGACTTCGGCATCCTGAAGCGGCTGGCGCGGGACCAGCTCATTTACCTGTTGGAGCAGGTCCGGGCGGGGAGACCGGGCCGGGGGGGCGGCGGGGTCGGTGCGGTACCGGCGGGGGGCTCGGCGCTGGGAGCAGCCGGGGTGAGCCGCCTGCCCGCCTGCCCGCAGCTCCCCGGCAAGAAGGACCTGTTCATCGAGGCCGACCTGATGAGCCCCCTGGACCGCATCGCCAACGTCTCCATCCTCAAGGTACCGCGGGGCCCGGCGGGCAGATGCCCAGTGCCCGCGCTGCCCCCATTGCCTGCGCTGCCCGCTCACAGCCCGGCCTCCCCCTGCAGCAGCACGACGTGGACAAGCTGTACAAGGTGGAGACCCGGCCTGCCCCCAGCTCCAGCGACCAGTGAGTCCCTCACCGTGGCAGTGGGGCACAGGGGCTGGCAGGGCAGGATGTGGGGCAGGTTTCAGGGGAGGCGCCGCATCCTGCTCTGGATCTGTCTCTGCTGGACCCCAGGCAGAGCTGCTGAGGGTCCAGGGCAGGGGGGGCAGAGGCACAAGGGGCCTCTCACTGCCTCTGCCATGGCAGGTTCTGCTTCCTCGTCCGGCCGCGGATCAGAACCATGCGGTACATCGCTGGTGAGTGCAGCGCCCAGGACACTTGGTATGCGCCTGGGGTTTTAGTTCCGGCCCCAGGCATTTGGGGTGCTGAGGCCCTCACTGGGCAGGAGGAGCTGTGCCAGGGCAGGGGCTGCGTGGCCTTCACAGACTCTGCATGTTTTTCACCCCCAGATATTATCAATGCGGACAAGATGTCGGGGAGGAGCAGGAAGTACAAAATCATCTTCAGCCCCCAGAAGGTCAGTGTGACCGTGCTCAGCTGCCCGTGACCCCATCACTCTGTCTGCCCACGCAGCCTTTCTGCCTTCCCCCCTTCTATAGGCACCAAACATCCTTCATTTGTAACCCAGAAACATTCAGTGAAACCAAGCATCACGATATTTCCATCATCAGGATCCCTCCATCACCAGGGCTCTGTGTGCTTAGAGCACGGCTGGGCCCTGAGGGTCTCGTTCTCTTCCAGTTTTATGCCTGTGAGAT